GACTCATCACTTTTGTTACTATCCTCTTATATCAACATCCAATTCACCTGAACTTACTAATTGTATTTTCGTTTGACGAATTTAATGTACACACACACACACATACAAAACAACCACATATATATGTGATTGTACAGCTATGAAAATGAATTCGCCGCCGAAAAGAGATTCTTCGCTGTAGTACTGGCCTTCTGTCTATAAAATTATTTATTGTTCAGCATTTTTGTTTTTTTACTCCTTTGCTTTATGAGTGGAACACACCTAAGGCCTCAAGGTTTAAGCTCTGAAGTCTTAATAGCGCTTGTATTTTTACAAGAAGTGTGCGGGGTTGCAACACCTCACATCCGACCTTCGCACTTTTCCGGGCTTACTACTGCGGTTTGGCGAAGTTTACGAGTGAGTGAGTCGGTAGCCGGGAATCGGACCTGGATAACGTAACTGACTGACAGACATTCTAATCCTGAAATAACTACTGACGACGCACAACTTAAGAAGAACGGAATTGTAGTGTACACATACTGAAATGATCAAACACTATGCCAACTTCAACTTTGATACGATTTCGACAATAAAAAGTTGACTAAGTTAAAATGAAATAAAAAATGAGATAGCAGTTAATATTCATCAACTCTCAGCTGAGGAAAGAAAGTCGATTGAAATAACAGATATAACTTTTATGCAACTAACTAAAACCAACAAAAATAGAAAGTGATTAGAGCGATTGAACGAGAAAAAAAAGAAACACTCCAGAGCATTTTCATTGCCGATTACTACTGTGGTGGTGTAATACAGACAATGGGTTCCAACGGAATATTATTCTCACAGTAAAAATCATTGTATTTGTTGGTGTTAACGTCTGAACACTATGGGGCATTAGCAACAGAATACTATATATGTATTTGAACATTCTATTTCATGTCGTTTAATGTAAACCAGAATCACACGCTCAATGATTATCTAAAGAATATAAACTGTATAGATATATAAATAACTATTTGATCATTTGAATATATACCTTGGCTTCCGTGCCTTGCCTTCTGCTGTTACACTACTGTTGTTTTCGAGAGAGGCATATTATAGTAAGTATGCTATTATAAACTTATTGTACACTTTTAAATCTGTGATCTTCACCACAAACTCAAAAATTGCCTTTCAAACTTCTTTTATTTACGATAGGGACATTCTCATCTTCAAGCTCTCAGATACGCTATGCTGGTGAGTACCAAGAAGCATGAAAAGTAAGAAGTTCAAGACTTCCTGCCAGAATTCCTGATATAATTCAGTCTGCATCAAAAACAAAGACTAGACAGATATGATATTCGTTGCCCCCTCCCACCCCAGTGTCCAATCACTATATCCTTTACAGCACTACCGATATGAGGTCAATCGCGAGTCTGAAGAACTAGACGAGGCACATTCGAACCTCAAAGAGGACGCGGGTTCTTTCAAGACTGTAGATACATCTTGCTGACGAGTACCCACCCACTCACAAGCAGGAGACCCAAGGTCAAGGGCTTCTTGGCCATTGCCTCCAACTATTTAACACAATCATCTTCAAAAGACAAAAATTGCAGACCAGCAAAAGTCCGTGCTTATAGAACGTAAGCAAACTAGTCCACCTTATATTCACATATTAGTTAATTCTGTAGAGATGTTCTTCACTGGCCTGAGCAGACGACTTGAAGTTAATTAGTTCCAGGTTCTCGGACCTTGCTCCACGAACATGAACACCTTCACACAATAAGTGTGGTTCACAGCCCAATGATTGGGGGGTTCAGTCGGCTATAAGCTGAGGAGACCCGTTGAGTCACATCACGATCCAGGCACTGAAGTGAAACCCAAATGAGAAAAAGCGAGTTGACCATGTCGCGGAAGGTGACATGCAGAAAATGAGTTTATGGGAAATCTTGGCGCCAGCTATAAAGGACTCTTGTGAAGCTGCTAAGAGCACAAGGGAACAACTAAATAAAATAATAGCCCGGGGGTACTGGGTAACTAGAATGACTTCTAATCAACCATACGAAAAGACAAAGCAAGCAGATAACCACACACAAGCTCTTTAAATAACTTTTGATAATAGCACAACATACCAAGTTAGATAAGTTACCGTAACTATTTCTCTAATTCAAAAACACAGTACAAAAGAATAATTTTTGAAAATAATTACCAAATTGAAGAGGGTATTCTGCAGATGAAAACATCTTTTGATATACATTAGAAGGCATATATATATATATGATGCGTATAAACTCTGAAGGTGGGTGATACTAGAGACGACTTCGATATGTCGCACTTAACATAAATATAACATCATTTTATTGTGTAGAACACAGAACGAAATGGAATTTACTAAGGGAAAAGACCTCTTATCAGTAATTGAAAGCCGAAGATAGATGAAATCCTGGCATTTACGACTTCTTCTTTATTCCTCAAGCTTCAAGCTAGAGACTTAAAGTTTCGGTCGGGGGGTGGGTTGCTAACCTTACCTAGCCCAGCCCTCCCTCTTTACCAATCTTAGCGAGTGCGTCAGTGGCCGGGGATCAAACCCTGGACCACGTGAGGCGCTATTGGCGAGCATTCTACCACTGTGCCACCAACGCGTTAACTGATTGGCACACCTAATACGAAAATCGCGTATCATAGTGAAAGTTAATTTATGGCTTAGAGAAACATAAATTGGCATCTTATATAATTTATCTCATAAAGTTAATTTATTTTACAGATAGCGAGCTTTATTGAGTGGAACTCAATACCTCGACAGAAATACAACACTGAATTCTTGACGAAATAGGAAAGATCTCAGGTGGATTCAACTGATTCGGACCACCTACACCTTCGATAAGCCTGTGGCCTAAAATGAGCAAAACGGCCATGTGGTGTTTAGAGGTCACTTTGATGATTTGGCTGGCTGGCTGGCAAGCACTACTGGTTGGTGTGAGTGGAATACAACTACTTGTATCAATCGGAAAGTAGTATATTACACATCGTAGAGTTTGAAAGGCGGCGGTTCTAAAATGGACTGATGATAACGAATCACATCACTTTTATAGACATCAGAGATGTCCGGGGTTGACATGAACAAGGTCGTATGTGAAGGACATGAGAGACCATAGGTAGTCGTAGAGAAGGAGGAAGACAGCAGAGAATAAGACAAAGTGAAGATGTACTGTTGAAGCCTTACGTTCCACTCTTAACCCAAGGAAATCATAATAACAATAGTCATGACTTTAGTGTTTTTATCATGTACGGCAATATAACGTAAACCCCTTTCAGTGATGATATGTTATCTCATATAAGATTACCGCCGAATACTTTTACATTGATTTAAAAAGCCAGTGACAAATCATCATAATGAGCATCATCATCATCATCTAAATAAATCATTTCATATGGAATGAAACAAATTTTGAGAAAGAGAGAAAAAAAACTTTGACAAATTCACTTATTTGTGTGTAACACTTGCAAACGCTAGACAAAATAATCACAAATTTGAAAAAAACAAAACATCAACTTGCAACATCAAAATTGTACCAAAAAGCCAAAAAGAATAAACAAAGACTTAGCTGAAGGTTATTCACACGGAGATATTCACACATACACTCAAACATTAATTAATGAATAGTGTGATTTAAAATATAACAGATTATTTTGAATAAAAGACAAATGTACTGGGTTCGAAACCCAATGGGTGCGTACTGTCAATGAGTCCAGAACTAGGCTGACGAAACAGCTGGCTGTCCAGTACTCTCTGGTTTTCAATGGTTCTCTAACTGATATCAATCAGTGATCAAACTAAAAAAGCCAAATCTAAGGCTAATAAATCAACTTTGAAAATAAATCTAATGGTCGCTAGTGACTTGCTACAGGACGGAGTTTCCTGGAGTTCTAGTGAGAAGTCGCGACCAGCGAGGTTCATCCAGTAGGGAGTGGGGATGGATTTCCCGCCAATGACATTATTTAGTGTCAGTCGCACTAAAAATGAGGAATTAGTAGAAGTTCGAATTCATGGACTAGGCGATAGGTTGTTTATTGGGACAATCAACAGATATTTACAGATTTTTATCTATATTATTATTAGCGTTATTGTTAGCAGAGAAGCAACGTCTCCTGATTGGTTACTTTCCTGCTGAAGGTCATTTTGTCATCTCTTTGTTGACATTTCTTAAACAGTCTGGTGATATATCTGCGAATCGTATCCGCCCACGCTAAGTTTGCTGTGATTGGTAGCTGAGTTCCTCAAGGTTAGGCCTTGTTCTTGTTTCTTCTCACGACCCCGATTTGGGACGTAAACATCGACGTAAATTGTTGTCTACAATATTGTCTTGCAGACACACTACCTATAGAACCCAGTACCATCAAGCAAGCACAATATTACCATTCAGTCAATAAGTGAAAGTTCAATGGCTCATTATTTTTAGCTCATGTCATCGGAAGATGGGCTTCACCAGCAGTCATGAATTCTTAAACCTCCTGAAACAGTTGTGGACCTCACGTTATTACGTAATAAATTAAAAAAGTAACTATTAGACGAAATCTAATGTGAAGGAGATGGAGTGTAGAGAGTAAACCAGTCTGCTCATCTAGTGTAATAAGCTGTTCACTTTGAAAGAAATTACTTTGTGCATCGGTGGTTTGTTCAGTGGTTGAACACTCATCAACCACGATATCACACACGTGGTACGGAGTTCGATTCCAAGTTGACGCACTTTTAAACCTCACCTAGCCAGTAGGTAGTAAGACCAGTTGAGGAAGGAAAAGTTGACAGCATGAGGTTAGTAACCCACCCCATCCCGTTAAAAAGAAGACAGACACCACTGCTACTGGAACTTCAAGGCCTTAGGCTTGAAACCTTATGTTCTACTCGGAATGCAAAGGGGAATCATCAAGTGTGAATACATCTCAATCAATCAACCAACCAATCAATCACATCTCTCGTGACCGAAAAAACTATCTCGCCAACAGCAAGCACAGGAAGGCAGTTTATGCAGAAAATGACTTACTTATAAGCTTTTTCTTTAGGCGCCAAAGGTTTATTCGCTTGACTGACTTGATCTAAAGCTGTTAACCATAAACTTTTCACTTGTTTAATAACTTCTGTTAATTGAAAAAATAAATAAAAATAAATGCAATTAAGAGAATGGGAAGGAGAGGGAAAAACAATCTACAAAACGAAGAATACGATATAAACAAACATACACACACCTCAACAACCTGCTGCTGCTGTTGCTCCTCTCCATTTATCAAGAAAATATAATACAACAGAAAATAAGACTAATGTTGTTCAGTTAATAAGATAGGGGGTGGGGAGGAATAAATGTTTTATTAGTAAAGTAAACATAAAATAAATAACATGTTGGAGTGTAATTAAGCGAATTGAAAAAAGAAACAATTTTTTTAGAATTTTGACTCCGTCCCACCTGCCTTATCGTGTGGTTGTATGTTAGTGCATGCAGTGCGATTGCCGAGTTTTTTTTCTAAGTTACTTATCTTCGCGCGGTCAGCCATCCTAATCTTAGCTAAATTCTTATGTTCTGATAGTCTGACTACTCCTGATCTAGTAGTTTGACTGATCTATGTAGTTGATCGCACTCACAGTCATTGCAAGATATTTTGTAAATTATATTATTTTGTTGAATTGGGTCAACCGACGGAGTCCTTTAGCCTACAGAGCTTGTCCTACCTCAGGGAATTTGTAGGTTTTGATGCCACCCTAATTCCTGCTTTAAGAAGAACCTTACGTAGGGTCTCAGAAGTTCCCTCTTTATATGGTAAAACTGTAAATGTCTTACATTCTCTCTTATGTATGTTGTCATTATTAGTTTCGCAATTATTTTTATTTTGTTTTCCACCTCTTCTGATCTTCCTAATGCATTTTATAGAATGGTTAGTTATATAACACTAACCAGCCATTCTCCTATATGTTTCATTTCATCGTTTAGGCTTTTTGTTGTACTACTTAGTGCTACTGCTCGGTTTGTTAGACACTCAACTACTAAGCCTGCCTTCACAGACAGATACCGCATGAGGTGAATTGAAGTGTAAGTATCTACTAGCAGAATGCGTTGGCTGTTTATAAACGCTAGTGTACAGTTTACCTTCTTCAATTCGTTTTATTTTACAATCTAACTTCATAGCTAATTCTCCTTGTTCATTTTCTGACTCAAATGTTAATTTTATTCCCTTCACTAGTGAGTTTATATATATGTGTGTGTCAAGAAGCTAGAGATATGTTCCGTTTTTACCACTGTGAAAGTGTTATATCCACATATCTCCACCATATTTTTTGAAGTAGAATTAAATATATTAAGAGCTGTATTTTCCCCAGCTATCTATGAAGATATCTACTACAATCGGAGATACTGCATGACACTGTGAGACTGCACTAAAATAAAATTTTCTCCATAATGGAATTATACTCTACCACAGTACCTAAGTTCTATGCTTATATCAAGGGGCTAAATTCGTCTGTAAAAACACTTCTTCAGTAGCCATCTAGGTTACTACCATCAACTTATGCTCTATCCATCGCAGTCAGTCAATACACGTATTCATTACGAATTACTACATGTGGTGAACCATGAACCTGAATAGCTCAGAAATGTTGATGTATCTGTGACAGCAACAAAGGGGTGATGCGACTGTAAATCTCAAAGGAGAGGATATCACTTCTCCTAGCTGGTGAGTGGCCAAAACAGCGCATGAAGCCTAAGTTCACACATAGCCTTGTTGATTACATATGACTAACTAAGACGCACTGCGAATTCTGAAATGTGCATGAATGCATTTTTCAAAATAAAGAAATCATATTAATAATAAGTTTTTTTATTCCTTTACGTTCCCAGTGGAACATAGGGCTTCAAGTTTCGGTAGCAGTGGTGTTGCTAGCCTCACCTAGCCCCACCACCCCTCTTTACCAGTCTTATTAGTGGCTTGGCGAGGTAAAGGAGTGCGTTGGCCAGGGACCGAACCCCGGACCACGTGATGCGTAGTCGGCGAGCATTCTAGCACTGTGCCACCGACGCACAATATGAATAATAATAATTATTATTATTACTATAAGTATGCGAATAAACTCACCTCTGTTCAATTCATCTTCATCATCATCATCACCACCAACTTTTTCAGTATTTGAGCATAGCTCAGAACTAATTTGTTCATGATTTTGATTTGATGAAGGCGCTTGTAGATGAGTAGATGATTCTCGACTTCTTGACTGATGATAACAGTCATTTGGATTCCCAGTGTCCTGCTGTTGCCGCTGTTGTCCTCGAGGATGATGATTATCATTAGTTAAATAGGTGACAGCATCTGATAGTGTTGGATCATTATTTATGACATATGACAGAGTACTGACACCATCACCATCACCCCCACCACAATCAATATGTTCAACAGTTGTCTTTGTTATCATTGGTAAACCGTCTGTAAGCCAATTCCAATGTTGAAATAAATGTTCAAGAACCTAAACAAAAAATTAACATGAATGATGATGATAGTTTTAAAGATAACACATTAGTTTCATATTTCACACTGTTTAGTTACAGGATTTCATCATGAGCTGAAATGGGTTAGTGAACCATTGGAAAACCTATATTAGTTTGTTTATTAGGTATATCACACAGTGAAACAGTATTATTTACTGGATGACGTTTCGAACAAAATTTATTGTTCATAATCATATCAATTGTGATCACACGACTTTGACACTTGAGTTTTATAGTTTTCTTTGTTCTCCCTCAAGTTAGAAGCCCTGAAACACCTTAAGAATAACAAGGATATAGTTATCACAAAGTCAGACAAAGGAAATGCAACGGTAGTATTAGACAAATCAGACTACTTGGACAAGGTAAACACTCACATACGAACAGGACCATATGAGGAAATTAATAAACCAATTGATACAGTTATGAATAAAGTTAAGAAATCCACAGCGGATCTTATACGCCGAATGAAGCCGTTTCTAGGTGAGTCTAAGTGGTTTAATTTAATGCCCAAAACTAATAACCCCAGTAGGATGTATGGTGTTGTTAAAGTTCATAAGTCAGGATACCCTATTAGGCCTATAGTTGATTTTAGAAATTCACCTACTTATGAATTATCTAAATATTTAGCCATGGTATTAAATCCCCTAAAAATCCACTCGAAATCTAGACTAACTAATTCTTATGAACTCAAACGTAGATTAGATAATTTAAAATTAGATAATGAAGAAAAAATGGTTAGTTTTGACATAGTCAGTTTATACACACGTATACCAATAAATATGGCTATAGAGGCAGTCAGAAACGAACTCATTTCTGACCAAGAACTCGAACTTAGGACAAAAGTGCCACTTGAGGACATAATGCTGGGAGTACAGCTATGCCTGACTTCCACAGTTTTTAAATTCCAAGGGAAAATATACAAACAAACTGAGGGAGTTGCCATGGGATCACCAATATCCCCAGTGGTAGCAGATATATTCATGGATAAGTGGGAAAGCATAGCGATTAAAACGTTCACCCCCACCCCAAAAGTATGGTGGAGGTACGTAGACGACACATTCACTGTACTTAGAACACAAGATATAGATAGGTTTTTCGAACATATTAACTCTAAGGTTGAAGCAATTCAATTCACTTATGAATTGGAAAATCAGGAAGGGGAGCTCCCAATGTTAGATTGTAAGGTAAAGAGGAAAGAAGATGGGAAGGTAAACACTAGTGTGTACAGGAAACCCACACACTCAAACAGATATTTGGACTTCCGATCATCCCATCCTATGTCAGTAAAAATAGGATTGGTGAAATGTTTAAATGACAGAGCACAAAAATTAAGTAGTACCAAAGAAAATCTAAAACAGGAACTAACACACATAAAAGAAGCCTTAAAACTTAATAATTACCCGGATAAATTAGTCAGGAAATATGTAAAGAAAAGTAAAAATAAAATAAATAATGATAGTAGCGATAGTGATAATAACAATAATAATGATAATGATAATAGTGATAATAATAATAATATTAATGACGACACCAACAATAAAGAATCTAAATCATCAGTAGTAATTCCATACAAGGAAGGAACCTCGGAAGCCTTACGCAGAATTCTTAACAAGGCAGGAATAAAAACGGCATTCAAACCCACAAACTCAATTAGAAACAAGCTTTGTCGGTTAAAGGATCCTGTAGAGCCTTTAAAACAAAACAATTTAGTTTATCTAATACCCTGCAATGATTGTCAGGTCAAATACATAGGTCAAACTAGTAGAACAGGGGCAGTCAGACTAGCTGAACATAAAAACTTAGCAAAATCTAGATTGGTTGACCCGAATAAGATAAGAAATCTAGAGAATAATTCAGCTATAGCACTACATGCAGTCACACACAACCATACAATAGGATGGGATAGGATGACAGTTTTAAAATCTAATGTCACAGGGTATAGGGAGAGATTGATAACAGAAGCTTTGTTTATCGAATCAACTACAAATACATGTAATAGGAATGATTCATCACCTGTCCCCGATATTTGGAAAATTCTACTACCCATACGACAAATGGGGGAGAACAAAGAAAACTATAAAACTCAAGTGTCAAAGTCGTGTGATCACAATTGATATGATTATGAACAATAAATTTTGTTCGAAACGTCATCCAGTAAATAATACTGTTTCACTGTGTGATATACCTAATAAACAAACTAATATGGAATTACTTACTACCACAGTGCCCAAGTTTTACACATATATTAATTGGAAAACCTAGTAGCTGTTATATCGAGTCCCAATGGTTTAATAGTCTACGAGGCTCTCTTTGTAACCGGAAGGTCCTGGGTTCGAACCCCGTGGATGCGCACTGACGAAGAGTCCCAAACTAGGCTGACGAAGCAGCTGGCTGTCCAGTACTCCCAGGTTTTTCAATGGTTCTCTAACCAATGTCAGCTCATGATGAAATCCTGTAACCAATCAACCAAATCCCTACAAACCAATACTTGAATATTCAAACTGTTTAATTGATTGACGTTTACTGGATCGAGTGGGAACTGTATCACCTAATGGGGATATGCACGTGTCTCCAGTTAATAAGTTCGAAATAGGAGGAAATGTGCACTTTTCGCGCGCTGCTCCCGCTAGGAGATGAAATCAGTTCGAAACAAGCGTTTAGTTACGTGACAAAAAGAATAGTAACCTGCAAGAATATAACGGTTTATTGGTTATAAAGGATCACTAAGAGTGAATGTACATCTGCACCGTTGACAACAGTTTTGAGCCAATATCCTCCAGTCATTTGTTCTGAGCATCTCAAAGACATCGAACTAGGCAGTCTACACCTTCCGCAGTAACTAATTTAAATCAACTTGCTAAAAACTTCTTGGAATGATGTTATTTTTTGAACTCAGCGACCATTCCCTAATTCTTTGCCTACAAAATCCTATGCCAGTTAAAATTGGCTATCGAGGAAGGTCATGGCAGCATGTGTCCTAACCATCTCAATCAATGTAACTTTTCCAACATCAACAATTGACTTAACCTCCTTACATAACACTTGACTAAAGCCTAACCTCAGTATTCTTTCGTATATTAAACCAATTAACACAGAAGAGATAGGATGTAAACATCTGTGATCAGATATAGCTAGCATTTTCATATCTACCACTTTCAATGGCCATGTTTGACTAACATAGAGAAGAACAGAAATCGAACTTTTGCGCAGCACACACACATCCCTTTGATCAATAGCCGGATGATATCACACATTTACGCCAGATGATGAAAACCCGTAGGAAATAATTGGGAACAAGTTATAATTTTACGAGTTGATCACGGACTGATATCAGTTAGAGAACCATTGAAAACCAGGGAGTACTGGACAGCTGCTGTTTCATCCTAGTTTGGGAATCATCGGCAGAACGCATCCACTGGGATTCGAACCCGGGACCTTCCGGTTACAAGGCAAGCTCGTATACCATTCAGCCACTGGGACTCGTAAAACATAACTAATCCTTACAAACCAAACTATAGAAAACAAGTTATAAGACAATAAATCATGGAAAATGGAAATAATCGTTCAGATATCCAGATATCGTTCTGAATATCATCATGCCAGCTAATATATAGATGCAAAATATAACGTCTTTGATCACGGGCGTCTGTGTTGCATCTCCCGTGTTATGTGATAGGTGTAATACGGTGAGCAATATTCCGGTCAAGCATCGGTCAAGTGCTAGATATGTGGGAGGGGAAATCAATCAACAAGGTTGTGAAGTTAAATCGATTGACAGCGATGGCGAAGATATGTGTTACATACGCGTAGCTATCGTCTTCCTCGACTGGCAATGTTAGCCAGCAAGTAGTGGTTAAACCAAAACATGGCTTCATCAGTCAATCAAATCCATAACAATTAGTTTAAGCCAGCCAGTGAGCCGCGTAGGGAGGTAGCTAGCCAGCCACGTTGGAGGTGAAAACTTACTGGCTGGCTGGTTGAGGTCCTCGGGATGACAAGAACCAATAAGGAATGCAGACATTTATCGGTGATATGGCTTAAAATCCTCCTTCTCAATGGATGGTGCAGGTGCATTCATTCTTTGTGATTTGTCATATCATCCGATAAAACTCTATTGTTCTTCCATATTATTAACTCCCCTTTTCCCCTTACTCATATTTATGTTTATTTTCTGTCTTGTGAACGTCCCTTTCCTCTCTTCTCTTGCTTTGTGTGCTACAAGGAGTAAGTGTAGAAACTCCAACTGCTACATATTTGTCCAAAGTTCTACCCTGAAACCAGTCAGTCAGTCAAAATATATTATAGCTAATAATACCACTGGGTTTCTTAATTCCAAGTATTGTAATAGAGTTCGCCCCCACTTTTCCCATACAGATTCAGATAAGAAAAAGGGTGCCATTCATTTCACTGACCGACAGTCATACAAGTAAGGCATTCAAGATAATTGGCATTGTTCTAAAGTGTGAAGTGGTTAAGTCACACATATGAGGATGAAGTATGCATGTACCTCAACAACAACAACAACAGACATGTACGCCACACTGTCTGTCTGTCTGTTTTCAACATAGAACTTTCCACCAATGTGCAGCAGTTCAAGTCGCCACACTCCATGTAGCACACAAAGCAAGAGAAGAAAGTAGAAGAAATGCAAAATACAGACAGTAGACAGGGATACGAGATAAAAGGAATAGTAATAACGAAGAACAATATAGTTTCATTGGAAATTATAAGTTACAAGGAGTGGATGCACCTGCCCCAGCCATCACCGGGAACGATTTTGAGCCGCATCACTGATTGTCTTCAGCCACTGCTTTTCGCCGTCCCGAGGACCCCAACCAGGAAGTCTACACCTTCCTACGCGGTTTAAACTAACTTTTGTGGATTACATTGACTGGTGCCATGTTTTGGTTTGACCACCACTAGCTCTTTTCCAGCCTGACACTACATCAGCTAACATTGGCCGTCGACGAAGGCGAAGACTATGTACGCCACACCTATTGTGCCGGCGATGATGACACTGTTGTATTGCCCGAAACTTGTTAAATGCAGCGTCTTTATAACCTGTAACCAAGTGACTGAAAGCGTAGTGCCTAGTTCGAAGAAATTAAGTTCGATACGTTGAGAAAAAGCTTAAGGATGGTCAGATCAGTAATTATTACATCCAATTTTTAAGTCACGTGTCTCCCATTTGCTTTATTCTCTCCTACTTTTCTTTTAGAGTATTTCATCACATTAAAATATATTATTTCAACCAATTTGTCCCCCTCTCTCTCTTCCCCTGCTTATTACCTCCACTCCCCACACCATCAGTAGATAGGTATGAACTATTGCAGAATAAAAACTCCCATTTATGTTATGAATGTCAAATAACAAGTCGGAACAGGATGACTGACTGACTGGTTTCACCATAGAACTTTCTACAGAAGTGTACCAGTTGAACTTCTCACACTCCACAAAGACTAGTAAGGCGAGAAACAATAGGGATTAATGGATATGGGTGTCACAAAGAGTGAATGTATTTGCACCAGCCACTGACAACGATTTTCGGTCGAATTTCTAATTGTCTCCAGTCATTGGTTCTTAGAATCCCGAGGACCCCATAACCAGACGGTCTACCCCTCCTCCCTACACTGGTCAGCCTAAAAATCCCTAAGATTTCATGGACTGATGAATCTATGATTTGGTTTGACCACCACTAGCTCTTTTCGAACCTGAACAATCCTATATATTAGCTAACATTGACCCTCGAGGAAGAAGATAGCTAAGCATGCGTAACACATGGTCTAGCAATCTCAATGGATGTAACTTCACAACCTCGTCGATTGATTTTCGCTCCTTACCTAGCACTCGACGTCGAACCTCAATATTACTCACCATATAATACTACTTAACATGGAGGACACCACGTAGACACTTATAACCACAAGTCTTCCAATTTCAATAGCATAAAGGAGGAGGACTGATAGGACTGCTGAGCAGTACATACGTCCTTTGGTAAACAGTCAGTCGGATATCATATCTGCACCAGAGATGGTGTAAGTTGGCAAATTTAACACTAGTCTTTTGTATCCGTGCTGAGATTCCATCAGCCACTGGTGTTGGCTGATGTAATATTTCAAATAAGTGAAATGGTCAACACTCTCCACTAACTAATTCACTCCTGTCTATCTTAAAGACAGGAGTGAGTCGATGCAGTCAAGTCAGTCCTGCAGCATTCTCATATTACATTTGACAAAGGCAGCGAATCGCAATTCAAACATTCGAAGATTTCACGCTGCTCAAAATGCTCAAAAGACTCTGTATTTTTTTTCAACATTTTCACCAAGAAGGACTATATCATCCGAATATTACAAGTTAACAAGACTGTACCCTGGTAACAAGTTAATCCTTAAGTGATTGAAATCAGCTAGGGTTAAGTCCATTAGTGCATTTATGATGAAATTAAACAGAAATGGGTACAACGGACATCCTCTGATGAACAGCACTGATGCTGCCATTACTTCAGATAACAACTCTCCGAAAGTCCTTACATGACTGTGTGAGTTAGTCGGAATAAGAGATTAATTATGTACACAAGTTAATTCCTTTTTCCCCCGTTGTTTGTATAAACACTCATCTACCACAGGAACATACTTTTCATATACTACAGATGTAAGCTGTTCCCACTGAGCGATAACTGATAATACCAAGGTGTAGGGACTCGAACCCACTACCTACTACTCCATTCAAAATCAAGTGCACTTAGCTTAAAGACAATGAGTCACCCCTCTCCTCCAAATGACTTGAAGGCATCAAGAGTTAGACAACAACAAAAAAAGCATAATTATTCCATCTACACATATCCACTGGTACACGTATATCGCTGGAATTAAGAAGTTTTCAAAAATTATCAAAATGATGAATAAAAAATAAAGACGATTTTACTATTTCATGCAGGAAAACAAGAAATAAATCAATAAATGCCTACCTCATTTAATTTTGGCAATTTTGTAGAATTTCCAAAGAATACAGGACCAAAACATATAGCAATGCATTGATAAGTGACGGCATTATGCTGAACATGAGCTACAACACGATTTATATGATTCATTATATAGCAGAGTGTAGCCCAACGCCATGCACTGAATGATCTTTTTGATATATTGAAATCTTTGAATTTATTCATTTTCATATGATGATTATTATTAAACGTAAACGTGGGATTATCTTTCGACTGTATATTAGCAGTAGCGGCAGCAGCAGAAGCGGCAGCGGCAACAGTGTGAGGAGATATTGGCGGTGAAATTGATGGTTTATAGGCATCATTATTGGTTGAATTCAATCCGAATAAATTAAAGTTTAGCGGATAGCAATCAACAGTATCATCTGTTTGAGCAGTGGTAGTAGCAGTGGGATAATATGGTACATCTAGAGGCATTGTGTTCATACTTGGAATACCAAAAGCCTAGAGATAACAAAAAAGAGAAAAATCAGCAGGTAGAGAAAATCAAAATGTATGAGTGAAAATGTTTTTCGAGTAATTTAGGGAGTAGGGTAATAATCATTCAAAACGATTGAAGAAACAACGAACGAAAGAAGAAGAAACTAGCAGGTGCCACGAGGACACTCTATATCTGAGATTTGAACCTATAGAATACCTACTTGCATTTCAGGTACACGTAAGAGGTTTCAGATACTACTCAATGCCTTTAGAGGGATTTTTAGGCGACCCCTGAAAACAAACAGTAGTCATTCATTCTCTCTTTATGCAGTCGTCTGGCGTGCAAAGTTCGTGAAACTTAATTATCCTGTTTATAGTGGAAAACTAATTACATTTTGAACCTTTACGGTGAATTTTTCATGATTAGTAATCAGTTGTTGCTGTTGTTTGAATATAGTTTTCTGTATTAGGACAGACTTTTTTGCATTCCACACAACTTATTTATTTATTTAAACGCAGAAAAAAACTTGGTACAATATGGCACCAAGAAAGATGCGCCACACAATCATAATAAAACAACATAGATTAAAAGTAAAAATATAAGTAGAAAATGGATAAGGAACTTCATCAGGAAGGAAAACAGTCATGTTTAACAAGTTCAAACAGTATTCGTTAACTATCATCAGGAAGGGAAGAAAGAAGGAAATTGCAACACGTTCGCCATTGATTACGATTCTTAGCCATTTCCGATAACGTTTCGAGCCATCGATTCGAGCTATCTCGCGGACCCCAACCAGTGAGTTGTGACGCACCAACCGATGCTAATCTAGCACAAAAATCCTTCATCCCACGACGCCACGTCATGGACTGACCACACCTCCTCCTTTTCCATCCCGTCCCAGGGCTGGCTAGCGAACAGAGACCTGTACGGAAGTCTCTGGGATGACATTCGCAGCACATGTCCAAGCCACCGGAGCCTATGTTTTCAGATGACAACACTCAATGAATGGCGATCTCCACTGTGTTCAAACACACACCGCCGAACCTTAGAATTACTCACGCGATGATGCCATCGAACGCAAGCAATCCTGCGGAGACAGCGATGATCGAACACACAGAGTCGCCTCACATCCTCAGCTCGGAGAGGCCAGGTTTCACAGGCGCAGAGCGAGACAGCCCACACCGAAGCATTGTATACCCGACCTTTGACAGCCAGGCTAACATCGCGACTGCGCCAAAAGTGGCTCAAGTTGACGTATGCCACCCTAGCTTTCATGATTCGGCTGGAAATCTCATCCATCACCCCTCCGCCAGATCTCACACAACTACCCAGATACACAAACTTATCAACAACTTCAAGCGGTTCATCTGCGAGAGTGAGTGCAGGTACAGACTCCTGTCAATCTTGTAACACTACTTCGTACTTAGACAGTGCAGAACACACACCATACTTACACACACACACACAATTATTGCATGATGATTGGAAATACTATCTATCTAACTGCTCACAATACATTAGGTGGTAAGGGGAACAGAACTTGAAATCCAACTGGCTGAGAATTGAATGTGACTACGTCAACCAACTAGCCTTATACCACATGAGCAGAAAGATCTAACTTTAGACACTTATGGTGCTGGACTGCGTGGGATTTTAACCTCAAATTTACTGTGACTGAAAACCAACTGCACTGAATTCAAAAGCCACATCTCAAAACAAACAGGATCAATGTGAGAACACTTAGTCGTATTATACAGTCACTTGCTCAAAAAAGAACTATATTGTTTATAAAAAAAGATTCTCCACATTAATTCTGGACTATTCACAATTTGCAATCAGTCGTCCTTTGATCTTAGCCACTCGAAAATCAAAGTTCCCCATGAGGGTTGAGGATACTATCCAGCTGCCCACACTGAAGTAGATAGAAGGGTGACGGAAATGACTGAGACCTATTGGCTGAGAATTGAGTGTGCTTACACATCAACCAACAAGCCACCATATGTCACAATTATCAAAGTCGAGGGTTTGAAATCCGGTGGATGCATACTGCCGATGAGTCCCAGAATGGGGCGACACAGCTGTCCAGCACTCCCTGATTTTCAATGGTTCTGTTACTGATATCAATCCGTGGTTGGACTTGAAAAACAAATCAAATCCCTACAAATCAACTCTTGAAGAATAAAAAAGATTTTACTTTATTTAATTGAATTTCAGATTTTCCCGTCGATTGATTGGACCGAAGTGCTCGGTCTAAAATTCAATAAAATAAAGAAATATGACCCGTTGCACAAGAGGTGGCTCTCGTGACCCAAGTGGTCTAGTGGGTAACGCTTTGACGTTTGAAACTATGGCCATTGGGTTCGAGCCTCGGTGGGAATGTAGGCACATCCAGTTGAAGAGTCCCATATAGGGCGAAACATGCATCCCAGTGGATTCCACTGCTAGTCACTATCCACCAATTGACTTCAAGTTACATGACCAGACATCATCAGAGCATCTACACAAGGAGCCGACATCTCAACCTGAGACCGATCACTTCGGTCCAATCAATCGACGGGAAAATCTAAAATTCAATTAAATAGTCATTCTGTTGTTCACCGTCGGAAGAAACTACTTTTTGACCTAATTACACTAATTGACTAAATGTAAATACGTTTGCAGAAATTCACATATTTCAGCTTTATAAACCCGTCAGAAATAGCGTAAAAACACAAAACTATTACGAAACCAGTTGCCAAATTCCGAAGGATGGATGGATTTTCATATGGTCTAATTGAAACCGAACCCTAACAAGTAGAGGAAAATATATTACTGCATGTATAATGACTTGTATCAACGTCTAAATCTCCAAATAAGTTATACTATGAAATCAGCGTGAAGGAGACTCTAAACAATGATAGGGTACACTCATTGCACCAAACATTTCAGGGTTTTCTTTTGCGAAGAAGGTAACTGATTACTTGGATTGGACACTGGGCTAGTAACTAGTGGGGTGTGTGTCTAGCCCTTTCTTTGGTGCAGACTGAATTCTATCAATCAGTCAAGTTTGCAATGTGACCACCATGACACTAGGGGGCTCGCCATCACGGTGCACTATGAATTGTGGATATTAGATGGTTGGAGGCAATCGGCAAGAAGCCTTAGCTGCACCTAGGTTTCGCGCTAGCTGGCACTCACTGGCAAGCAAGGACTAGACCCACTCCACTAGTTACTACCTAGTGTCCGATCAAAGCATCCAGTACACTCCGACAGGAGGTCAACCGATAGCCTGAATAGCTCAGTGGTAACATCTCTGACTGCAGGTAGAGCGCTGGGTGACGCCGATTCCAATCTTAGAAGGGACATAAGTGCCTTTAAGGTTACTGATACGCCTCGTTGATTAGTGAGTGCCAACTAGCACGAAATCTAGGTGCATCCAAAGCTTCTTGCCGATTGTCTCCAACCATCATCTAATATTAAGGTAACTAATTACATTGGAATCTAGAAAAAGAAAGCTGTCTTCAGAATACTCAAAGAGGAAAGATTGCCTCTTTCAATAATCAGAAGACGTCAACAAAAACACACATTCAAAAAAATATAAAATAGACAAACATAAAGAGTATTATACTCACCTCTAATGCAATCTTTTTCAATTGAACACGCATAGAAATTAATAAATAGGCTAACTGTTGTACATCTGAAGATTTTGATGCTTCTGGGATTAGACAAGCAAGCGGTTCCCAAGAGGCTAAATAAGAGAAAATAAACCATTTATTTAATCTTATGAATAGTAATTTAAAAAAAAAATTTATAATAACGATATCTAATTCAGTGCAACACACAGTCAGTTCGAGAAGCGACAAAAAAGTAAAGGGAAGTAATGACAGCACCCCCCCTACTGACTACGACACTGAATAAGGATGAAGGTTCGAGTTTAAAGTGGGTCGCGGTGTACGTGGGATCAGTTCCTGCAAGATTGCAGATCAATCAACCATGATGAAGCATAAGTCGACGATATCCTGTCGATTCCCCTCACCCATTTAATATCAATTTAAAATAAGCTATGGTGGCGAGTTTCCAAGTGTAGTCACCATACTGCATATTAATGAGTAGAATTCTGTCAGCACGCCTAACGACTAGATGTACACGCACACACACACACACACACGTGGAACTAGTTAGGCCCTTCTCTCAGCGATCAAACGATATTATAGACAATGGCAAATCTGATGCTCACTAGCGACTAGCCCTATTCAGGCAATTACCTGGGATTCTAGTGGAAAGTCGTGATCAGCAGGATACACCAGGTTGAAGGTGAGGCAGTAACTCATCAAAAAATACATTGCAAAGTGGTGTCCCGCTATGACATGCATTGACAGAAGTTAGAATTCATGGGCTGGCCATCGGATCGGGGGCCCAGTGGCTTAATGGTGTACGAGCTCACTAGCCTTGTGTAACCACAAGGTCCTGAGTTCGAACCTCAGTGGGGTGAGTGCGTACTGATGAAGAGTTACAAACTAGGACGAAATGGCCTCCTAACTGATGTCAGCTCATGATGAAATCCTCCAACCTATCAAACAAAATCCCTAAAGACCAATACTTGAAAATTCTCAAAAATAGTTAAAAGAGGAATGGTTCCTAACTAAAAACAAGATGAAGTCAGGATGTAAACGGATTAGTTATTTTGACTGACTGATTTAAGTTTCAACACAGCCTAAATAGCATATAAAAAAGAGATTCAAAAGGACTGTTATGTGAGCAGAAATGTACCCGACGAAGAATAGTAACATGGAGTAACATGGGAATTTAGTGGACCTAAGAGATCAGAAAGAGTGGATACATTTGAGTTATTGTAAAATGGATTTGAGTTATATCACAAACAGTCGCAAGTCATATGGGTATTTAGTCCTCAACAAAGGACTTGATGCAGCCGAAATTGGGTGGAAATAGCTCTTCCCCTCAAAATTCTCTCACATGTGGTCACGCATTCATAACCTCTGCCAGCCATTGCTTTCATACCATTGGAATATTCCTCACGAAAGTGTAGTGAGGCGAGTGCGAACGTCTGGCGCTTACAACCACATTGGTGGATATGCAGGTCTACATAAGGGAGATGCAAAACCGTGATTCTAAACCAACAGTGTACATGGGGTCCAGAATGTAAAAGGATTGCATATGGTATGCACCTCTTTAGATCTCTTTAGATAACCGTAAACCACGGGAATGCAACTGATGACGTTGTTCCTACTCGGACTTCAAATCAGAAGCTCAAGACGTGATGTTTTTAAGACATACACCTGCTTCTGTCTGGGCATACTCGAGCAGCATCACCCTAGCCGTGGTACATCTCTAAGTGTTCATGTAATCTACCAAATTATTTGCATTTAATAACAATAAGCAACTCAGCGTGCTTAAAACCAAGGCTACCACAAACTTTCATCTCTCTGTTACATATATTTTCTCTTGTTCATTTCGTTTTAATCGACCAAGATATGACCTCTACTAAACTTGAGGAAAGGTCGGATTGTGAGTGGCGACGTGTTCCAATCAATACATGTCTGTCTGTCTGTTTTCGACATAGAACTTTGCACATATGTGCGGCAGTTCAAGTTTCCACACTCCCTCCATGTAGCACACAAAGCAAATGAAGAAGAAAGTAGGAGAAATGCATATTAGAGACAGTAAACAGAGGTGTGAGACAAAGGAATAGTAATAACGAAGAACAAAACAGTTTCATTGGAAATCATAAGTCACAAGGAGTGGATGCATCTGCACTAGCCATTGAGAACGATTTTCAGCCATGTCACCAATTGTTTCCAACCATTGGTTTTTACCGTCCCGAGGACCCTAACCAGCCAGCCAGTCTACACCTTCCTACGCGACTGGCTTAGACTAACTGTTGTAGATTTCATTGACTGGTGCCATGTTTTGGTTTGACCGACGCTAGCTCTTTTCCAGCCTGACCTTATATCAGCTAACAGCGCCCGTTGAGGAAAGCGATGACTAGGCATACGTACCACATGTCCTAACCTTCTCAGTCGATGTAATTTCACAGACTTGTCTATTGATTTCCCCTCCCACCTACCTAGCACTCGACTGAGGCCTTACCTCAATATTGCTCACCTTATTATGCCACTTCACACAGGAGATAGAACGCAGGCACCTATGATCAAAGACAGTTAGCCTTTTCATGCCGTCCACTTTCAATGGTCAGGTTTGGCTCACAGCCATAAATGAGGACGGAGCGGACTGATGAGCAGTACACACGTCCTTTGGTCGACAGCTAACCAGCGGGATATCACGTCTACTAAGCCAGAGACGACGTAAACTGGCATATGCGAAACTAGCCCTCTGTATTCGTGCTGAGATTTCGTCAGAGATCAACCCGTTGGGGCTGATCCTACTTCCCAAGTAAGTGTAGCGGTCAACGTGCTCTACCACTTCACTTCCTATTTCTAATTTAGGAGTCGGTGTAGTCCAATCCCGAAGAACAGTTATCTCAATCAATACATGAGATAACCGTTCTTCAGTTTTGTCTTGTAGTCTCAAAATGTACTTCTGAACATCTTACAATTGGCTTTCAACTAGATCGATATCGTGGATTTCTTGAACGAGATAGAGCAGATATATATATATATATATCATAATGGATAGGTTTGTGCTTCATCAGCTCAGAGATCATTGTGTCACAGGAAGGATATACTGTCAATTTTAAGATTTTACTTGAAGATATTGATTGCACGATGGGAAAATATAATACAATAAAACTCCTCTGAAAATCCTGTACATTACATAAATACACCTGCCTATGTGGCTTTCACAAACCAACTGTCAAAAACTTCACGGATTAATGCCACCAGGTTTCTTTTTATTTGACCATCCTTAACTCTTTTCCAACCACCTGACTCTATGCCAGTTAACACTGTTTGTCGAGGAAAGCGGTGATTAATTTCAACTATCGACACAACGGAAGTATAGGTCACTGACCACCGTCAAACATCATCACCAATCAACCAATCAATCAAATCATAGTTTTAACACACAATAACACCAACGTCATAATGAATGAGTGATCGCCGATAAACTAACATAAAGCTGCTCACATAGAGATAATTTGATACATTTGAACAGTAATAATATACGGGTTCACATCACTTTACACACATGCAGTTAATGTCTTGGTTGAAATATCATGAAATATCAGCGAGAGAGAGATAGTGAGTGAGGCGGGGAGGGGGGAGGGAGTAATCAAGTCAAAACAAATAGTGCTGTACCCATACACTCGCACTCACACTCACACACACATGACTATATAGAGATAAAGCCATGAGATGTAGTTGAACATGCATCATTCATACATTGTAACATAGCAGAATTCGGTCATTGATAGTCAGAGATGAAGAGAATTAACTCTGCCAGCATACATAACCCGCACTTTTGTAGCTAAACTAAAGTTTTACACACAGAGAGAGTTAAATAACAACTAAAATCAATCAACAGCACAGTATATCCTTCCTTTGACTTTATAAGAAGATGAAGAATAAGAGGCATCACTTGGATAATTAATCAATTAATTTTTTGATTGAACACTAGTCAGTAACTAGTGTAATGCGTCTAGTCCTATCTTCGGTGCAGACTGAATTCTATCAGTCATGTTTACAATGTGGCCACAATGCTAGGTGGCTCGCCATTACGGTGCACTGTGAATTGTTGGTATTAGATCGTTGGAGGCAATCGGCCACAGGAAGCCTTGGACCTAGGTTTCGTGCTAGTTGGTAATCATCAGCAAGGCGTATCTGACTGTAGCACTGGGTGACGCGGGTTCGAATCTCAGAAGCGAAATCAGTTCCTTCAAGGTTGCAGATACGCCTTGCTGATGAGTGCCAACCAGTACGAAACCCAGGTCCAAGGCTTCCTGCCGATTGCCTCCAACCATCTAATACAAATTAATTAATTACTGGAAAAGGAACAATGAGAACTAATCAATCAATCAATTTGTCATTTGCAAATTTAAAAAACAAAAAAACACAAAGTTCAAGATCAGTGAGTCTCCTGCAGTTTTTTTCCTTTGGGGACCCTGTCTCCCAACAAACCAACCAAGCATATCGATCAGAATGAAATCATAAATGATATGCAATTACTAGTGTTCTCTGAGCTGGTTGGTTAAGTTGCGAAGCTTTCGTCGTCCTTCTGGACAACATCTTCAGCGCCATATTTAGCACAAAGTGAAATGATTTAAATTTCTTCATGAGTGATATAATTGCGTCTCCTGGTAACTATCTTTACATATGTATTGACCATTTTCTATTGACTTGGATTTTAAACTTTTTGCTCACCTCATTAATTTTTTATTAGTTGGTATATTTCGTCTATACTAACGTGCTTGTTAATTGCATTTTCGCTTGAGTACCAGGCTTCTAGCAATTCTCTGGCACTTTTCGTGTTTCCTCTGTCTAAGATTTTGACATGATCCCAATCAAAGAAGGACGACGAAAGTGTCGCAACTTAACCAACCAGCTCAGAGAACACTATTAATTGCAAATCATCCACCTGAGCTACAAATCTTCTCTAATATCATAAATCATAATCAAGAAAGAGTAAATGTAAATACTACTGATTCACTGTTGTAAGTAGTTAGAAACAACCAATCACATGTCAACAGTAGTAGCAGTGTACCGCTGTTGCTTGCTATTCAAGATCAGACAAGATGATCCAGAAAAGTAATCAAAAATGTTTTTTTTAGTGTTCTATATAATTTTCAAGAATTAGATTAATCCAATTTTATCATCGTGAATACGTTGGATCGATAAGACCCGACCGAAAGCTGCTACCTTGACGTGGTGGTCGGGCTTGAACACCGCAATGATCCAACAAGCTATACTGGCTGAGACTTATGTCGCTTGAGGTCCTACCATGCCACAAAGGTTGTTTGGATAGCGGTTAGACAAAAAGCAGTTACCTAATCCAATGCTATGACTCGAACAAAATCACAAAATATCATGTCGGATCGGTGAGGGACCGGATTAAAAACGACCGCGCTTCCTGATTCCATGTCACACGATGGAAGTGATAAATATGCTACTGAGACACACCAAGTAAAAAAGAACAAAGAAAAATAGGCCGTGTGTGACCGGCCTCAAGCAGTTGTCCCCTGGGTTCTGCGGTCACGCAACCAACTTCCACGGTGTGGGCAGCCAGGAAGTAACAATCGCCCCTCACAATCCGAAATGCAGACAGGATCGATGAGAAGAGGCTAAAACATCTGGACTTCACGGGCGATTATTCATTCCCAGCGTCACATATACTGGAACACTTACATGTGAAAACCAACAGAGTGACGACAAAGACGGGAACAAAGAGAAGACAGAGGTGATGAAGATAACCAAACAACCAACAACAGCAGGCGCTAATCCCCAGCAATGGAATAAATTTGATAAAAGAGGTCACTTCGTTCACTTATCTGGCTTGGAAGTATCGTTTCAAATACAGATAGCCGGAGTGGATGAAGATTTCAAAGCAGGCCAGAATCAGAAAGGCGCAAAAGAGACCTCCACCATTCTGATGAAATCAGTTTGGAAATCTTCTGCACTAATTCAGCATAAACAGCTAAAACTCGAACTTTCAACACCAATATCAAGTCAGTCAGCTTTTCTATTTGACTCAGAAACTCGGCTCGTCACCACAGACTTTTTAATCAACAGCTGCCCCCTTCGCTAGCTCTATATTAAAGATCAAATAGTCAGAATGAATTAACCAAACAAGAACCTGTTGCTCTAAAAATATGCTGAGGAGAATAAAGATGGATCGGATACACGCTGAGAAGACTGTCAAATAACAACACGAGCGTGCCAAGACCACGAGTGGAACTCTATTGGGAAACAAGTTAGACATGAGACCGAGGGTGACATGGAGGAGATTGTGTGCACAGGAGAAGATGACAGCCTACGGGCAGTGGTGGAAACATATGCAAAGGACTGCAGAGAAGACGACAAAATGAAGATGTGCTGTTGAAGCCCTATGTCCCACTTGGAACCCAAGGTAACAATAATATAATATGATGCTTATGCCAACTAAGTGATATACATAGAAAGCAGTTAAAATACTCTTTTTCGTGTTAACAAGAGAAAACCCACGATTAAATGAAGAACACGTGAAGGCATTTAGTTTAAAGACTAGATTCGATACATTGCTTCAACTACACAGTTCTTGGTTCAAAGATAATTAAATTATTTAGAAAAGTAACGTGTAAATGATTAGGCGTAGAATGTTATTAGATAAGGATGGAAAGTCAATCCTATGAGGTTGTGATACAGATGGCTAGGACACATACGAGCATTACGCACGCCAAGCCTTCCTTGTCAAAAAAATGTTAGCTGACATAGGATTAGTTCGGGCCGATCAGTTCACGTCATTAGTCCATGATGCCACTTGACTGTTACTTTCAGCCGACCACGTAAAGGAATGTAGACTGCATGGATTAGGTCCTTGGATGCTAGGAATCAATGGCTGGCGACTATTGACGGGCCAAGTTAAACTTTAAGCACCACTAACCACCAATCAGCGAATGACCTTGAACGCACCAATCACGTGAAGGACGCATTTTTGTGTATACAGTACATATATTTATGAGAAAAATGCATAAAAACTGCACAAAACTGTTGCAGAGGATGCCCTTTTCTCGCATATAATGAAAATAGCTCTCAGTTTTAGGTTGGAGTATCAACAGAGTAATTTAACTACATTCTATGCATGTAATTATTTAGGCGTTCTAACCCTAACAATAGTCCTAATCTTTCCTGAACCTTACCCTAACGTGAAAATATCCCTAAACTAACTGTAATCTAAATCTTACCAACCCTAATGTCGCCTTTATTAGGTCAACCTAACCCTAACTTGTCCTTGGCCTAAACGGTAACTTAATCTTTCCAGGACCTAGGCTGAAACTTGCCAGATATCCTCCCATAACACTTCGATGAGCATATTTTATTGATGGCGACAACATTATTTGCCAGGGTTTACTAACATGCTTAGTTAGCATTTCAAGGTCATTGGTGCGGTTGCACTCCATCGGCAGTTAGTGGTGCTTAAAGCTTAACCTGACCATTGACAGTATGACTCAAAATCGTTCACGATGGGGGAAATGCATTGTTATGACTGGAACTACGACCTAGTAGACTATGAGCGAATACTAACTTAATGCTCTGGCTACTCTGTCCTAATCGCACGTCAGCAACAACAACAACACCGGGCCTCAAAAAAACAGAAGAGAAAACTGGGCGTTGGTGAGAGGGCTTCTACTGTCTCAAAGCAACAGTCAAAAAAGATTGACAGAGCTTGCGTATTCACATGTTTAAAATGACCTTGAGAAGCACTAACGCCATTGATAAATTAAGACAGTGAGCAACCAATAGGATTTCAAAAGTCATAAGTAGGGTGGGAGAAAATTAGATCATTAATCTACAAGTGGGTGAGAGAAGTACAAACAGACATGTAAAAGTGACATGCACAAAATCAGGTCTATATATATCATGCATACAATCTTTGTAATCTCTCCCAGATCCAATAGCTCCTGTTATTGGTTTTTCACGTTTATTACAGTTCTTTTGAATTCTTTTTAAAAAAAATCTTTTCTCTACATTTGTGCACTGCATGGAGAATCTGGCAACACTTGATGTGTTACACTTCTATGCAAAGTTCTATGTTGAAACTCATTCAGTCAGTCAGTCAATCTAGTAAAGGACATTGTCAACGACGTACACGTTTAAATCACCCTATAATAGATGTGAAATAAACCATTGGTGACTTTATGTTGACTAAATGGGATCAATGCTTAGATTTGGCAAGATTTCGTTCTCATCCAACTGGATTCTTGCTTTTCTAAACACAGTACGACTTATCTGACTTAAAAACTGACTTGTGAAATAATCTACATCATTCGATGAATGATGACTAGCAGTGGAATATTCAAGATGAACATTTCGTTCGATTTGGAATCTGTCAGTCCACTGGAAGTACCTGTAATTATTAGTAAGAGATGGTGTTTCCCCAATAAAACTCGAATCCAGCGCTAATTCGTTTAAAACGCTAAAAGAGTGGTCTAGTGGTTTTCCCTCCTTTGACATTTGAAATGATGGGTGTTAATGCATTGAGAGTCTCGCTTAAACAACATCACCAACTGATAACTACAGGTACATCCACCCGGTTGATGAGTCATTAAAATAAGACGAAATGTGGGTGATTCTGTATTCCATCAAATAATGGCATCTTGCTATAATCCTCAGACACCGCCACCGAAGCGTTCCTGCTAAGAACCTAAACGTTAACAACAGAGGTCGTACAACAATTGGGTCCAGTGAACTAAGGGGAAAACAAAAATTCACTTGAACACACAACTTCAAGAAATTTTTTAACCGCCGATTTAAAATATGAAAAATAATAAACACCTCAAAAAAAATGGAAAAGAAAACGTGTATAGACTTACATAAACAAAACAATCCTATAGGTAATTGTCGTAGAAAGTGTTTAAATAATCCACATAGTGCATTCGGTTCTCTCCATGCATCCAATCCAAAAATAAAATTCACATCGTCGGGACGCTTTAATGAGAGAGAAAAACAAGAGTTTTTATTGCGACAAATAATTTTTTTCTAAAAACTGATATGACAAACCAGAATTAATAACTAATGTAGAAAGCGAAAAGCGTAACAATTACAAAAACAACAGCAAACTGGACGCCGTGGAAGCAGAACTGCATCTTCTGAAAGAAACCTTCATCCAAAATGGATACTCAACAAGATTCATCGACAAGAATGATCAGACCGAAAGTCCAGAGGAACGAAACATTACTAATTCTAAAGAGGAAACTTTACATGAACCTGGATTTCAAGGGAGACACATGCAGGCTGAGATATCCTCTTAAGAGAAGAATTTTAGCATCATTGAAGAAGAACATTCTTCTCCAGTCGTCATTTGATCTGCAAAAGCCTTAAGGACAATATGTCGCGTCTGACTACTTCTATATGTATATATCAGTTCACCTGTTACTTTCAAAACAGGTAAATTGGTCGTTCGACGCGTATCTTGTCTAAAAGGGTTTAAGAACACTATCCCACTGCATGGTTGCAGAAAGGTGGTAGCGGCTCTATAAGGAGTACGATAACCGAACACCTTGTCAACCAACACCAGTCATTCCATGTCAAAAAACGTCTCCTTCAGAGTGATTTACAAAGTGAAGAATAGTTTACAAACGGCAATACACTTTCGTTTCCTCCGCCATTCAGTTTGAGAAACCACAGTTAAGTATACAAAAGAAAATCATTCAACCAATTCTACTATCATGTTAACAACTGTGTTGATTTCTGCCCACTTGATGTTTGTGTGCCTGATTTTTAACTCCTTATAGCTCTTGTATGTCTTTACAGGTCTTTCATAATTCTATATTTCCATTTCTATGTTCATCCTAATCAGAACTCACTCATTAAATTGTTCATCTTGTTACGTAACTACAGTACATTTATTCAACTTCCCTTATACATTGACTAACAAGAATTATTTCTTGACAACTCATTACCATTACCCATTTATTCATCCTTACTCCCCTTCCCCCTCGTTACAATTTGATGATTCATCACATCTTTCGAAATATTTTGATAAAGTAAACAATAACCCTAGTTAATATAAGAAAAAAACTTGTGCACTGTGGTAGAGTGTAATTCCATTATGGGTAAATTTTGCTTTGATAAAGTCTCACAGTGTTATACAATAATGTTTATTGATGACGTTTCGAAGGTGTAGCAATGGGATCACCAATATCCTCTATAGTAGCAGATATATTTATGGATAGCTGGGAAAAAATTGCTCTTAAAATATTTGATCCTACTCCAAAAATGTGGTGGAGATATGTGGAAATAACACTTTCACAGTGGTAAAAACAGAACATATCTCTAGCTTCTTGATACACATAAACTCAGAATGGATAAGATTTTATTTTGATAAATCACACAGTGTTGTACAGTTATATTAACTGATGACGTTTCGAGCACAAACTATTGCTCATAGTCATATCAAGTTACTCACTCACACAACTTCTTCCCTTCATTTATATACATGTATATAAATGAAGGGAAGAAGTTGTGTGAGTGAGTAACTTGATATGACTATGAGCAATAGTTTGTGCTCGAAACGTCATCAGTTAATATAACTGTACAACACTGTGTGATTTATCAAAATAAAATCTTATCCATTATGGATTTATACTCTACCACAGTGCCCAAGTTTTATACTTATACACATAAACTCACTAGTGGAGGGAATAAAATTCACATTTGAAGCCGAAAATGAGCAAGGAGAATTAGCTATGTTAGATTGTAAAATAAAACGAGTAGAAGAAGGCAAACTACACACTAGTGTTTATAGAAAACCAACGCATTCTTATAGATATTTAGACTTTAATTCATCTCATCCTTTAACTGTTAAGGCAGGCTTAGTTAAGTGTTTAACAAACCGAGCAATGGCACTAAGTAGCACAAAAAATGACCTAAACGATGAAATAAAACAGATAGAAGAGGCCTTGGTGTTAAATAACTATCTTTTAAAATTCATTAGGAAGATTGAAAAATGCCAAAAGAAAAAAAAAGGATTGCGAAACTAGTAATAATAACATAAATAAGAGAGAATATAAGACATCTACAGTCATACCATATAAAGAGGGGACATCTGAGACTCTATGAAGGATTCTAAATGAAGCAGGAATTAGGGTGGCATTTAAACCCACAAACTCACTCAGGGACAAGCTCTGTAGGTTAAAGGACCCAGTTGAGCCAATTAGACAAAATAATATTATTTACAAAATACCCTTCAATGACTGTCAGTGAGGTCAACTGCACAGGTCAAACTAGTAGATCGGGAGTTATCAGATTGGCGGAACATAAGAATTTAGCTAAGGTAAGAATGGTTGACCCAGAGAAGATAAGTAATTTAGAAAAAAGCTCAGCAATAGCACTGTATGCATTAACACACAACCACACAATAGGGCGAGTGGGAGAAGGTTAAAATTCTAAGAAGTAATCTAGGTAGGTGGAGAGAGAGGTTGATTACAGAATCCTTGTTCATCGAATCTACACCCAACACATGCAATAGGAATGATTCATCACTCATTCCCGAAATATGGAAAATATTACTACCAATCAAATCAAGTGAAAATCAAGTGAAAAACAATGGAACTATATAAATGAATTTAGGAAGTCGTGTGATTACCTTGATATGATTATGAGGAATAAATTGTGCTCGAAACGTGGTCATCAGTAAGCATTACTGTATAACACTGTGAGACTTTATCAAAACAAAATTTACCCATAATGGAACCCTAGTTAATGTTAATTCTTGCCTGACAAGCCTAATGTACACACACACATACAAAAATAATTTAATATAAATGCGACTGTATAGATAAGTGTGAATGAATACGCCACCAAAAAGACACTTTTCTCTGAACTACGGTATCTTTTTTTCATAAAACTGGAGAAATAGAGAGTCCGTGGCACAGCAGTAGGATACCTACTAACCACACCACACCTGGTTCGGGATTCGATCCCCGGCCAACGCACTCCTTTACCTAGCTAAGCCAGTAATAAGACCGGTAAAGAGGGAAGGTAGGGTATGAGGCTGGTAGCAACTCCATCTCATAAAAATAAATACCAATGCTACCGAAAGTTCAAAGCTTTCCCTAGCTTGAAGTCCTCTGTTCCACTAGGAACGTAAAGGAATAAAATAATAGAAAGTAAAAATAAACTGGAGAAATACCACAAAAAGTACAGCAGAAACATGGTACAAGAACTAATAATAACAGATAGAGAGACAAAAATACGGAACAAAACATTAATACCGATGGTTTTCGGGTCTTTAATTTTCAACATGCTTAACATCAAACTGTAACGACAGCAGATAAGGACCAGGCAACAGATCGTTTCTTAAGAAAGTCAACAGATATTTATAGATTTTTATGTACATTATTATTAGCGTTATTGTTAGCAGAGAAACAACGCCTTTTGATTGGTTGTTTTTCTGCTGACGGTTATTCTGTCATCTCTTTGTTGCCGTTTCTTAGACAGTCCGGTGATATATCTGCGAATCGCATCCGCCCACGCAAAGTCTGCTGTTACTGGTTGTTGAGTTCCTCAAGGTTAGGCTTCGTTCTTGTTTTTTTCTCATGACCAAGATTTAGGACGCAAACATTGACGTAGATTGCTGTCAACCAAATTTAGCTAGCATACAGCTCTCACCAAAAAATAATAATCTTCTGGTATTTTAAACCATGTAGGTCCACAGCTCAACAATGTTGATAGAGAAACATAGGGGAATCATAGATTCACTTAATTAATTCACGATTTGCATCGGCGGTTCAGCAGTAGAACGCTAGCCAACCACGCCTCGGGTAGTCTACGTTTCAATCTCCGGCCAACGCACTCCTAAACCTCTCTAAGCCGGTGGTAAGGCCGGAAAAGAGAGAAGGTTGCGCTTGGTGAGGCTAGCACCCCACCCTCCCCCGACCGTAAAAATAAAACACCACTGCTACCGAAACTTCAAAGCTCTTTCTAGCTTGAAGCCCCCTATTACCATAAGTGGTAAGCATAAATGCTTGATGAAACATACTACTACTTGATTGTTTGGTATGAGTAGTTGAGTACCACTCACGTCAATCGATAGTGCTTGCTAGCGAGATCAAATCCGCAAAATTTGATGCAACGTGTTTTGCAGTTCACGTAAAATCGTTAACCAGAATTCCGGTCAGTCAAACCGCACACATCACTGATGAGAACGACCACACAAACCAGAGAAACGGTGGTCCGGCGCTTGTTTAGGTGTCAATAAGGTCTGCCCAGCAGCAAACACTACTGGTTGATGTGTGAGTAGTATACAACTGCTACGTATCCCAGTCAATCAGTAGTATATATATAGTTTAACGCATTTATGTTCGCTTTCTTGATTACAACTCATATGCTATCATATATATATATATAAATATATTGTGCGTGGTCTGGATAATTTCCCGTGTCCAAAGTAAACTGTGTTGTGTAAAAAATTTAATTTGAGAAACTGTAAACCTCACATCATGGAATTGGATAACTTAAAGAGTTTGAGAGTGATCACGCGTCGCGCATTCTGCGCCAAATCCCATTTCCCCTAGCCCGTTAAATATTTTCTCTTCGTGTGTATACATACGATTAGCAATAACAGACTACCCTAGATTCTACTTCATATGCGTATACTTGTGGGGACATAAATATACGTAGGATCAAATAGAATAGAATAGAATATCGTTAGTTAGAGAGAGAGAGCATGTGTCCTTAAAACGATGGTTATTAGGTCAGTTTGAAGGGCGCACACACAAACACAACCACAAGTGTACTTAATCTGCCTGCGTACATAGAAAGAAGCCTAGTCAGCATTGTTCATATTGCAAAAACATTTATTAATATCTGTGTCAATTAGAAATCAGTAACAATGACTGTTTGTCAATTATTTCATCACATAATTTTAATATTCATTCAAGGTTATTTATTAATAGTGATGGAAACCATTTTGGGAAGTAGTGATCGCATGAATTATAAATTAGTATTATTATTTTATGTAGAACAGAGAACAGTAGATATCAACGACGGAGTTAAAGTATAACTCCATTATGGATAAGATTTTATTTTGATAAGTCACACAGTGTTACACAGTAATATTGCCCGCCTTCCTCGACGGGCAATGTTAGCTGATATAGAGCCAGACTGGAAAAGAGCTGGCGGCGGTCAAACAAAAACATGGCTCCAGTCAATGAAATCCACGACACTTAGTCTAGGTAGGTGTAGACTTCCCGTTTGGGGTCCTCCGGACGGTAAAAACCAATGGTTGGAAACAATTGGTGACATGGCTCAAACTCATCGTTCTCAATGGCTGATGCAGATGCATCCACTCCTTATGACTTATGATTTCCAATTAAACTGTTTTGTTCTCCGTTATTACTATTCCTTTGTCTCACACCTCTGTTTACTGTCTCTATTATGCATTTTTTCACTTGCTCTGTGTGCTACATGGAGTGTGGAGACTTGAACTGCCGCACATATGTGCAAAGTTCTATGTCGAAAACCGACCGACCGACCGACCGAGTATTAACTGATGTTTCGAGCACAATTTATTATTGCTCATAATCATATCAAGTCACTCACTCACACAACTTTTTTCCTTCATTTATATACATGTGTGGAATCGATTAGATATTGGAATAAAATTCAATATAGGATAATGTACATTCAGAAATAATAATATGGGAAATAAGACGAGTGTTTTTATAGTCAAAATAAATAAGTAACTTGTTACAATATTATGATATACGTGAAGTGAAATAGAATTTCGAGATTATTTATTATCCTCCTCTGATTTGACAGACTGGCGGTAATATCTTCCATATTTCTGGTATTTGCATTGAGTCATTTCTGTTGCATGTGTTGGGTGTAGCCTGGATGAACCAGGGAGGATTCAGTAATCAATCTCTCTCTCCACCTACCTAGATCACTTTTAAGAATTTTAACCCCCTTCTACCCTATTGTGTGGTTGTTTGTTAATGCGTGCAGTACAAATGCTGAGCTTTTTTCTAAATTACTTATCTTCTCGGGATCAACCATTCTTCCCTTAGCTAAATTCTTATGTTCCGCCAATCTGACTACTTCTAATCTACTACTAGTTTGACCTATATAGTTGACCACAACTCACAGTCATTGCAGAGTATTTTGTAAATTATATTATTTTGTTTTAATTGGGTCCACCGGGTCTTTTAGCTCAAAGTCAAGATCTTTAAAAAGTTGACCTTTAGAAAGCGATCAGATTCAGGGAGTGCTTTGAAATATCATTCTAAATCAAATCATGCCAGCCTTTTCGAACTTAGACATGGTAGATAGAGTATTCTATTTATTTACTAGGTACTTTTTCTGTAAATCTATACTGTTAGGTAGGCTTAAGGTATTTCAGATTAAGGTTTTAGGGTCCAGGGTTAAGGTTGGGAGTTAGGAATATGGTTAGAGTAAGGAGCACGTTCAAGAATAGAGTCAGAAATATCAATACATCTCAAAGTACGATTGTAGTGAGAGCGGACTGCAAGCCAAAAATTGTAGACAACAATTTACATCAATATTCACGTCTCGAATCAGGGTCATGAGAAGAAAAAAAACTATAAGAAAGCTTAACCTTGATACAAATCACCAGACAATGAATCAAAGCGGAGTTAAAGTGTGAAAATATGATTCACAGATATATTATATGACTTGATTTTTTGAGAAACGGCCACAAAGAGATAACCGAATAACCTTCAGCAAGGAAACAACCAATCAGAAGAGGTTGCTTCTCCGCTAACAATCAAGCTAGTAATAATAATGTACATAAAAATCTATAAATGCCTCTTGATTTTCTCAATAAATGATATGCTGCCTGGCCCTTGTCTTCTATCGTTACACCATGACCTGCAGTCATCTACCTGGATGAACAGATACATCGCGCATGGTACGATTTCTCGATAGATCATCTGTGTGTAGTGAATGGGAGACATTCTTACAACACATAAGCTACAAATACACAGTGTAATATCAGGTTTGGAATATAATTTTTAGTGTATTTTTCAACGGCTATGCGACTTTTTGTATCTGAATTCTGATTGGTTGTTCAAGGTCACTGTTTAACTTTGCCGATATCAACCTTTGCCTATCCAAGACTACTTGACCTCATACAATGTGACTGATTATTCACTCTGAATGTCCTTTTATTTCATGTAACTGATAAACTGTAGAACAGCTTATTATTGTCAGTCATATGCTGAATGGATTGGATATACATTGAGGAGACCGTTGAAGGACACTGTGCACCAGTTTGAACCTCAAGTGGAACCCGAACAGGAGGCGACGAGTTGGACATGCGTCCAACGGAGGAGGTAATGCAAGCTTATGAGCAATTATGGAGCCAGCCATCTAAAAAGAAAGGACTGCAGAGAACAAGGTGTCAAATGGCGGTGTGCTGTCGACGCCCTCTATGGTTCACTCGACGGAACCCAAGGGAATAATAAAATCGTCTCGCAACATCTGTCTTCTAAATGTTTTAAGTAGATATATATCAGACGGCACTGACTGCTTGCAGTTTTCTTAGGTGAAGACACTCTAAAGACAGTTTCTAAGGCCCGTGTCATTAAAAAAAGAATCAGCACCTTGCTAATGAAAATAATTACACGGTATGTTCCCTATCAAAATTCCTACTCTGTGTATACGACAAGTGAATTAGTTCAAAAACGTCACGTTTGCTTTAAAAGACTTGAGAAACATAAATCTTCAACCACATGCTCTTTTTCCTGTACTTGACTGTAAGTCACCACCCACCTCATCACTTAGAAAACGCTACGTGCCTGCATAAGCAACAGTGACAATGACATTATCTCAGGAAATACTCAAGTGTCCGAGAAAAAAAAGGGGACGGAGGAAGTGGATAACTTGGTTCCAGTGTCTATGAGAGAGGGGGTTTCATAACCTTTAATAAGAAAAATACTACACGAAGGTGACGTTACACATTCGTACACAACACACATAACTTACCAGATTAATAGAGGAGATAAATTGTGAAATTGTCCGATGACGACCTGGCTTTCTATACAAACCGGGTAAATTCAAGCCATGAATCTCCAGTGCTATAACAATAGCTTGTAATAAGAGGGGGACACACTAAATAGGCAAAAAAAGGATTGGGAGGGAAAAAACGAGAAATATTACCATTGAATCTCATATTCGGCAAATATATATTTCAACCTTTGATCACGGATTACTGATATCAGTTAGAGTACCATAGAAAACCACCCGCCAGCTGTTTCGTCAGTCTATTTTGGGGGTCATCGGCAGTACGCATCCACCAGCAGGGATCAACTGAACAGGATCTTCCAGTTACTAGGAGGGCTGTCATCCAACTCAATAGCTAGCCCAAAAATTCCAACCAGTTCGTGATTTTAAAGCGACTGGCACTAGTCAATGTCATCACTGGCGAGTATTTGTCCTCACTCTCGACTGAATCGACCCCACTATTCACGACTCCTCACTAGAATTCCAGCCAGCTATGCTCTCTCTCTCCACTCAGGAGAGAGGGGGCCACAAAAGGTCGACCCAAACAATTGAACATCCTGACTTATCCTAGGGTGGTCCGTAACTAAACCTAAAAGCCAGTTCATACAGGCCGTGTTTGACCCATCTCAAGCAGTTGTCCCCTGGGCTCTGCGATCACGCAACACTAATTCTCTTTCTGTTTCAGCTACCTGAAGAATCAATCAACTTCCACGGTATGGGTAGCCGGGAAGTAACAACCACCCATACACTTCCAAAAGCACAGGAACTTGGCCTTCTACTACATGAAAATATTTAGTTTCAGTTAACTGGGTTATATAACGGACGTCAACCCAATAAGCAAGACGATATCAATGCCAAACTTGGCACTACAGCACAAGTTAGTAATACTACAATATTAAGTGGCTTTAGTCTTTCCACAATAGTCAAAACTCAAATTTATCGAATATTTGGAACTGGTATTTCTAGTGGGTGACTGACTGATTAGAAGATGAAGTTGTCTAAAGTTTTAATCGGAAGACGGTACTAGCGCGGAGTTCCCTAAGTCGGTTGTAAGGATATATACTCGCCAATGGCATTGGCTGGTGTCAGTTGCGCTATATATGACAAATTAGCAGAAATTATAAATGATGGGCGATTTAGATCTTGTCCCAGCTGCTAAATAGGTCAAAGTGAAGTTCATGGATTCGATACCTGACAGTGTTATGGGTGTATACTACAACGGAAAAGAGTCCCAAACAAGGATGAGATATTTGTCCAGTACTCCCCCCTGGTGTTCAGTGATTTTATAACGTAAGTCACTTCATGATCAATCTTGAAATCAATCAAGTATCCCTGCAAACTAACACTTGAAAACATTTGGAAACTCCTGGAACAATTATCAGAAGCCATTAGTAGAGAAGGGCATTTCGTTATGACGTGTTTATTCATCACTACAACCAGGGGAGTTAACAATTGACTGTGACACACAAATTCCACATTATTTACACTATTCAGCTGGAATTGAAGTATACACACACACAAACACAAGTAAAAAGACTTACAGGGTAATCTGGACTTTCTAACTGGGATTCTAATGGCGCGCCAAATATTGGACCAGGATTATCCATATCAGTCAAATTTGGAGGATCAACTATGGTGGGAAAAAAAGGAGAAAAAATATTTTCAACGTCGTCATGACAACTAACGGGATAAAACATTTTTTTCACATAGATATGAAAAGCAAAATAGGTTGAATTATTACTCTAGATAGAACACTAACTTTACTACTTCTGAATAATGGTAAATTAAAGATAATAGGGCTGTATCAACGACCAGTACAATACGCATTTAGCAGTCTGCTTAAACCACTCAGATTCCTTAAATTTCCATCTAGTATAATGCGTCGGTGGCTCAGAGGCAGAACGCCTGTTAGCCATGAATATGGTACAGATTCGAATCCCGGCTACCGACAGTAACTGGTAAATCCGGAGAAAAGAGAAGACTGGGTGTGAGAATGGCTATTCCCCCACCGCTACCACCTCGTAAATGACACCGTCACCACAGAAACTGCAATGCTTAAAGGTCGTTCCAATCAGGATGTACACATAATGCATAAACCACGCTGCATTTCTTACTGTTTTTTAACCACGTAATTATTTTTATATATTGCCACACACACACACAGGCAGACAAACATCTTTAGAAGTTTGTTGTCAGCGTAATCCAGCACACTTCTGAAAGGAAATATTAGGAGAAAGATATATATAATACAGGAGACGAATACTGCTTCAGACGGAAGAACCAAATGTCATATGATGTAATGTTATGATATAATGTAATGCACATTTGAAGGTTCTGTACCAAAAGTAAATACTTTGCAGTTTAAATACACTGAAAGTTCCATATCAAAATCACGACTCACAAGTTAGTAGACAGTTTTGGCGTTTGATGTCGCAATCTAGAAAGTTTGAGGTGATCATTTTTCACTACTGTTTCTTTCGGAAACCGAAATTATTCAGATCACCCATAATATGTGATCTGCTTGATGCCATTTAATGCGAATCAAGCAACCAAGCGTAAATGCATAAAACTTTATATACTACTGATTGCTTGAGATGAGTAGGTGTATGCGGTCTAAACACCAGGTGGCTATTTTATTCATTTAAGGTCGAGCTCATCAGTGGTAAAGGTTCTGTGCTATGTGCTAATATACTGTCTAAAATAAAAGTCTATTACTATTAGTATTAGTAAATATTTATATAATATATCTCTATGCTATCATTGTGCCAGTCTTCGCTTCTGGAAGGGCTCTGCCACACATACATGAAAAAACAGGCTACCTAACTGTCTTTGATCATACATGGCTGCGTTCTGTCTCCCGTCTCAGGTGACATGGTACAAGAGGATGAGCAATATTGAGGTGAGGCATCGGTCGAGTGTTAACTAAGTCAGTGAGGGGAAATCAATCGACGAGGTTGTGAAGTTACGCTAATTGAGAAAGAGGTGGTTAGGACACGTGTTACGCAGGCATCCCCACCTAGCCATCGATTTTGCCGTCCTAGACAACGGCCAATGTTAGCTGTCGACATAGGATCGATTAGGTTGTTGGGAGAGAGCTAGTGGTTGGTGGCGGTCAAACAAAATATGGTTTAATCAGTCAATGAAATCCATAACAGTTAGTCTAAGCCAGGTAGCCATGTAGGGATGTGTAAACTTCCTGGTCAGTCATTGAAGCATCTGACTATGCGATTATTGTTGCTCCTCCATATATTACCCCGTTTATTGTAGTTTCATAGCAGTGTTTTTTTATTCCTGCCAAAATATCCGGGTTTTTTTCAGGGAGGAGGAAGAATATGTGATAACTCCTACTGCCGGCGTTTTTGAAAGAATTCCTATGAGAGGAATTCAATTCACAGTTTCAATTTCAGAAAGAAACAACACCATATAGTTTAGACAGTAACGCATGATTGCATATGTATAGCGTACTTTCGAAATTCCTTATGTTTCTGTTGTGGTGCTTCCTTTCTATATCACATGGTGAATACACACCATCTTCACTAATAATAATAAATAATAATAAAAATAACAATAATCTAAATAATATGATAAGCCTAAGCTACAATATTTGTTATTTCAGGTGAAAACGTGACAATTAATCGGAAGAAAAAAAAGAAAGAAATATGTAAATACTGACTTGCACATGAAACATAAATAAGTTAATCCCCCAAAACTGGAGTAAACACACCTACACCTACACACACACACATACTCTCTCCCTCTGTCTTTATTCCTCTTCCCCCTCACCTTAGATTTAAAACTTTTTATTTTTTGATAAGTATACTTAATCTTTTTAACACACAAAAGATTAAAATGTCTGACTTATAAAAATACAAACTTGAAATATAAAAAAATAAGAGGGATAAGGCGGAGAAAGAGTAAACTGAAAGAAAATGTCACGGCTACACACCACTAGATTTTACGGTATTATTATTATATTTATTATTATTAATCCTTTGATTCTCAGTGGAACACAGGGCTACAACAGCATATCTCGATTTCATCGCGTTTTCAGCAGTTGCCTTTCGATGGCTCCACGATTTCTCCTGAGTTTTCATCTCCTCCTCACACAATCTTCTTCTATGTCATCGTCAGATATCCAACTCACCACTGTTTCACACTCGACAGCCTAGCGGCTGACGTGATGATGTCACTCGGCAGTCTCTCCAACGTATTTCCAATTCATCTCATACTTCTTGGGTGATAGCTTCCTGATTGGTTGTTTTCCCAGAGTGTTTCTTTTGTTGCTTATCATTCCTGGCCAGCGAAGGCGAAGTTTCAAACCTGTTGTTCGAAATGGTTTCCTTCACGTGTGCGCCAAGTCTCTGACATATATAAGAGGAATTAACTGACTCGACATTGTTGTGGAAAACCCAAATCATGTTCCGCATACAACAGATTTCCACACTGATTCCAGAGTAATGAAGTTTTTTCATCCGGATCACTAAAGCCAGCGCAACGGAAAGTATGCGGAAGATTACCGATTTCGATAGGCTTCTTTTGACTTTTTAGATGGATTCTCCTTACACATATTCAGTAGTGGCTAGTGCTGAATATATGTTCATTTATAGCAATGCTTATTGATCCACTGTTACCTTTTCATAGCTAAGCAGGATACTTATATTGGATTTTAGATTTTCCGGTCGACTGATTGGACTGAAGTGCTCAGTCTCAGGTTGACATGTTGGCTTCTTGTGCAGATGCTTCGACAATGCCTGGGTATGTAATTATAAGTTAATTGCTGGATGGTGACTACCAGTGAAATCCAGGATAGGCATTTCGTCCTATTTGGGACTCGTCCACTGCTAGTCATCATCCATCAATTAACTTCTAATTACATGCCCAGATATCGTCAAAGCATCTGTACAAGAAGCCAAAATGTCAACCTGAGACCAAGCACTTCGGTCCAATCAATCGACGGAAAAATTTAAAATTCAATTGAATAATTAATATGACCCGTTGCACAAGAGGTAGCTCTCGTCGCCCAAGTGGTCAAGTGGATAAAGCTTTGGCATTTGAAACTATGGGCACTGGGTTAGAGCCTCGGTGGGAACATTATCACTCACTGGGGAATGCAGGTACATCCAGCTGGGGGACGAGTCCCAAATAGGACGAAATGCGCATCCTGGATCCCACTGCTGGCCATCATCCACCAATCAAGCGGGATACTGTTCCATGACTCTTTTAGATAAGAACATGCAAGTACTTGGAAGACAACTTTTACTTAGATGCACTTTGAACGTTCAATTCACATTCAATGGCACTATTAAGAGACAACAAGATGGTGTGACCATGGATTCACCTTTAGGCCGTTACTTGCAGATATTTTCATGTCAAGTTTGGAAAATGATCCGTTAAAACCGACAATCGACAACTTCTCTGTCTGTACAAAAGGTACGTTGATGACACTTTCATCATATGAGATAACAAATGTGGCCTAATTAATGTCCTTCAAGTTTTTAATTAGCTACCACCCAGCCATCAAACTTACAATTGAAGCAGGAAATGGACAGATAATCTCATTTCTGCACGTCCAACTAACAAAGAACCATACAGAGATCAATATAGCGGAAGCCTACGTGGAAAGTCCAGATGACAAACTTTTACAGTTAGGTACCCATCAATCGCAAGCAGAATCTGATAATATCTCTTCCGACTAGAATCCGTAGAATCTGTAGTCCTGAATCAGTAGATGAAGAGATCACTCTTTTGAGGAAGACACTACTTAAGAACGGTTATCCATCGCGCTTTATAGATATACATATAAAGCTGAAAATCAACAGAGGACAACCAATCTCCGTGCCAAAGATGCTATACAGGGATGTGGCGTTCAAAGGTGATATTCTGGCCAACATTCTAAAGAGGAGAATATCTAACGCCTTGAAAAGAACATTCTCTGCTGCCGCCCATTGTTCTTCAATAACTCTAAAGATAAACTACATCAGTTGACCACCTTCTATGTGTATCTACTTGCTAATGTGGAGCAAGATACAGAGGTCGTTCGATGAGTGTTTTATCTAAAACAGTCATACAACATTATTCCGCCTGGTCACAAGAAGCTAACAGTGGATCAATAAAGAGTGCTATAATTGAACATATAATGAAAACACTGGTCACTCAGCATATAATGAAAGTTTCTCTTGTCTTTCCAATTCTAGCTTGGACATTTTCATCGGTGCCACACCACCTACAGTTACAACGATGAAACCTTGAGAAGTGAAAAAGGTATTTAAGTATCTTTATTACCGCCCCCAGACACCATTTCTATGCCCATTTGAAGTTTTCTCTTCGCTGCTTCTTCTTCTACCGAATTGTTGGTTTTCACCTGTAAATCTTCGAGTTCGTCTGAAATCAGACATAAATCTTCTGAGAAATCCAAATCTTCTACAATCCGACGTATTCCTGTCTTTTGTTTCCCCCCACAGTCTGTTGAGTAGTCCAGTCAGTCCACTATAGTCAGGAATATCTCTCAACAGTGACAGTAGACAGCCTGGTCCTAACCACCCCACCCCCAGTCTTCACTTCAGAGGCTTTACTGCCTTTTCACCGATGACTCATCTGGTATGTGAAAGCATTACATAATTGCTGAATAAAGTTTATAAAGGTTCTCTTGAGGCACTTCATGATGTAGAAGCAGTTTCCGAATCACTTCGCAGTCGACTTTATATCCATCAAAACGCGCTTTTTTCAAAGATGATGGAGCTGAAGTAGAGACTTGACTACCATTCTATGCTCTGTTCGATGACGATGACGACGAAACGTTGTGCTTCGCGATTTTATTCGCACATGATTTACTTTTCTTGAGACCAGCTTACTATGTAGGAATGTCATCACGTCTAAAAATCGAAGATCGGTCAAAAACTGTAATACCTAATGGAAATTTATAAATCTCATCCAACAGCTGTACGACAATGCTGCATGCCAAGTAATCCACAACGGGAAACTTAAGGAATCCTTCGAAGTGAGGACAGGAGTAAGACAAGCTGGCTGCCTACTATCGCCAATGATTGTACTGATTGCAGTAGACTGGATAATGCGACAGACAGTGGCGGGCAATGAGGAAACAGGCATAAAATGGACTCACATAAAACACTTGGAGGATCTGGACTTCACCGATGATATGTGTCTGATTTCCCACAAACTGGAAGATATGCAAGCGAAAAGCATCAAGTTGGCTGAAGAAGCATCAAAGATGGGATTTCAGGTGAACATAGAGAAAACAGAGGTAATGAAGATTCCTGGACAAGAACAACAACAACAACAGACAACAATCAGCATAAATGGAAGGAACCTGAAAGGAACAACCTCTTTTACCCACCGACCTGGGAAGCATCGTTTCAAATACAGGCCAGCGGAACTGACGAGGATATCAAAGCAAGAATCGGAAAAGCAAGACAAGCTTTCACTACTCTCAAGTCTGTGTGGAGGTCAACAGCACTCAGTATCAAAAATAAGATCCGGATTTTCAACTCCAATGTGAAATCACTGCTACTATCCATACGGATCAGAGACTTGCACTGCGCGTCATAAAGAGCATCTCAAACAAACTACAGACATTCATTAACAGTTGTCTTCGCTCCATACTACTCAAGATCAGATGGCCAGCCAAGAAAGATCAGCAACAGGGATCTTTGGGAGCGAACCAACCAGGAACCGATTGTGCAACAAATACGCAGGAAGAAATGGAGATGGATTGGCCATACTCTGAGGAAACAAGCCATCAAGTGACATCACTAGACAAGCCATTGCTCGAGTGGAACCCGGCCGAAAGGGAAGCGGCGAGTTGGTCGTCAGTGCAACGGTGACTTGGATGAGGTCATGTGAAGAGGAGATGAAAACGTGTGGGCAGACATGGAGCCAAATGAAGACTCTAGCAGAGAACCGAACGCAATGGAGACGCACGGCTGAAGTCCTATGTTCCTCTAGGAATTAAAGGAAACAATAATAATAATATAATGGATATTACCACAAACAACAACGCATGATACACACATTGAATCAAAACAAATCATATAGTGCTTACCACCACTACCTGTCAAGGAAGCCAATTTATGCTCATTATTTGGAGAATCTGAAAACTGTAAGGGATCTGTTGAAGGTATTTCTGAATGATTATAGTTTGTACTACCATTGACATTATTATTACTACTACTATTAAAAGCGTTGACGATACCACTAGCAATAGTACTACTACTGAAATGTATCGCACTACTTATACCGTTATTATTATTATTATTGGTAGTAGTGGTGGTATGATTTGCTGATACACTACTCGAGTTGACAGCAGAATTCAATCCCCCGCCAACAGGACGATTTAACCATTGTTTAAATCCACGTAGAATTTTATTTGAACGAATCAGATTATTAGATGAATGCGATTTCTCGTCTCCTGTAGTATTATTATTATTATTCATAGATAACTCGGAGATTTGAGATGAAACACTATGACTATAATTGGAAGGATCTGTTGTTGTTGCGGTTGTTGCCTCAGAAGTGTCCGACCGTGTATCTGAATAAAAAGAGGGAAAAGAATTAGTAGAAGTAGTATTGAATTCGCCGACGTAAAAAACTCAATGAATACAACTCAGAAGCTAAACAATCAACCAGTTATGGATGGAAACATGTAGCTTTGAAGTTTCAATAGCGGCGTCATTTTTCACCAGTTGGGGTTGTTAACCTCACACACACACAACCACTCCTCACCGTCAGTCTTACTAACTTCCAAGCGTAGTTTTGGGTCGGATCGGCGGTGAATCGAACCCTGAACCTCATGAGGCGTGGTTAACGAGCATCCCGCAGCACTAAACCAACGACAACGCATTAACATCATTATCAAGGTGAGGTGTACGCGTATAGTAGCTTGCTCACAGTCATTAGGTAGCGCGCACTATCCCTACTGTCTTTGGCAGACCTGGCAACAACAACAACAAGTCAACAGAACGCGCCATCAGAGCATAATAACAGGTTATACACCCATCCCTCACCGTCTGTAGTGAGATTCCAAAATTTTCTTTCCTGAAAAGTAACCAAACAAGTGAATGATTCAGAGTACTACTCAACTACACGGAGCACATCTTTCAAGTGATAACAGGCTAAGATACAGAGGATACTAACCTAGAAATAGCCCAAGATGAATTAGGTGAGTCAGGATTCAGGTGTCAGTGACAAAACCATCATTCAATAGGGGTATATGAAGGCATACCCGGCTGAAGAGTTCTAAATAAGACGAAGTGGACATTCTGAATTCCAATGACAGCCCATTATCAACCAAATAAGGCTTTACACACATATCTTCCACTTATAAACTCGGAAAACCTCAAGAACAAAGAGTAGAACATGGTAGCATATATCTGCTTCTGGCGTGGGTGGTTCTCTCAGCTGTCTGTAACACTCACTGCTCCAGTGGTATCGCAATTTTTGAACGTTGTTCCTCTCATACATATATATATATCTTATATGACATGGAGCTCTTTGTTGCTTATGCTATCAGGCCATCTTATTTTCATTACCAAATGAAGCCAGAGGCTGATGAAAATCAGAAGCCCGATGAATATGCTTTTCGTGAGGAGCCAAGTCTCTTAACCGAATAGAAGCGATGCAGTAACGCCAATGTTAGGAATTCCGACCTATAGATTCTCAACACCAATCCCAAGAGTCTTCATTTAGCCGGTCGTGGCTTGGTAAGACCGAAATATGACATTATGCTGTGAAGTCTTTCAGTATTATTCTGAGTCATGTGATGTGAAGAATGTAGACCCTGTCTAGGGTCCCGGAGACGCTAAGAACCGATAGCCGGGGAGATTGTTGATAAGGGCTAGGTGAGGCTAACAACCCAATCCCGTAAAAATAAATGCCACTGCCAGCGAAACTTAAAAGCTCTCTTTGGCTTGAAGCCCTCTATGTCCCACTGGGAACGTAAAGGAATAAAAAAAATCATTCAGTACAGTTTCTGAATACTGATGTACATACTAAGAAACTCACAAATACCAAAATACGGACAATTGAAATAATTGAGAAAATTTAACTTACTTGTGTTATCTGAGCTGGGCGGTTAATTTAATTAATTACGAAGCTTTCGTTGTCCCCCGTCTAGACAACATCACTTCAGTGAAGGTTTTAGTATGAAATGAACTTATTTGAATTCAACATGAGTGCTGATATAATTGAATCTCTTGACAACCTCCTTCGTCGTCATTGGTTATTAACTTACGTCAGGAGGTACAACAATATCATCATTCGTTGAGAATTCAAATAAGTTATTTCATAAAACAACCTGAGCTGAAGCGATGTTATTATTTTTTTATTTTTTTGATTACAGCTTGATTTCACACCGTATTTTCAGTACAAGTATGGAATTTTCAGAATGGATATCGGTAGCCCAAATTTTGCAGGCCGACCATAGATATCGGGTGTGCGTCGGCAGGGGATCGAACCCCGGACCATGTGCATGGTCGGCGAGAGTCTTAACCACTGTGCCCCCGACGGACAGCGAAAGCTTCCCAATTAAATGAACCAGCTACTCACAGAACACAACTAAATCAAAATATGAACAGTTTCGAAGATTATAACAGAACTAATTTTAAATATAAAAAGCGATCCGGTCATGAGGAAGTAACCAATAACTGATCGTTAGAATTTTGTCCAGAATAACTGACTGGTTTCAACAGAGAACTTTGCACAGATGTTCACCTGTTCCAGTTGCTACTCTTCCAACATGTAACACACAAAGCAAGAGAAATGAGTAAGGAGAGATTCAAAAGAGAGATAATAAACAGAAGTGTGAGTGAGGGAAAAAGAGTAGTTAGTAAAATGGGCTATCTTTGACAACGATTTTGACTCATACCACCAATGATCTCCAGCCCTCATTGGTTCTTACCATTATGAGGAACCCAACCGGCCAGTCAAGAAGTCTGCACTTTCAAACGTGGATGGCTGACTGACTAGTTTACACTAACTGTTATGGATTTCATTGACTGACGAAGTCATGTTTTCGCTTGACCACCACCAACCACTAGCTCTTTTCCATCCAGATCGACACTGTGTCGGCAGCTAGAGCTGCCCATCGAGGAAGGCGATGGCTAGGCATGAGCAGACTGAATCTTATCGCAGTCCAGTGTTGCGAAATGACAGATACGCCATGTTTGATGTCAAGTGGAAATAAGCACCAAACACGCAAGCGCTCCTGTCAATAGGCAGTGACTACCGCTCAGCACTGACTTTAAATTTTAGCAAGATACAGTCTGACTTGACAATATATATATATATATATATATATATATTATGGGACAACAGAGTAACAGGAATTTCGATGAACAAAAGCTCTTGTATGCCTCACAGATAAAATATTGTAACAGCAAAAGGCAAGACACGGAAGCCAAGGTGTATTTTCAAGTGATCAAACAGCTATCTATATCTATACTGTTTATATTCTTTAACCAATCACTGAGCTTGTGATTTTGGTTCACGTTAAACAACATGAAATAGAATGTCCAAATATAAATATAGAGTATTGTGTTGTTAATGCACTATTTAACTGTGGGAATGGTATTCAGACATTAACACCAAAATATGCAACATTCTTTACTGTGAGAATAATATTCCGTTGGAACACATTGCCTATATCACACTACCAACACACACTACTCCCCCCCCCCACCCATTTACTAAAGGCGACCTTTTGTAGTTATATCAAACAAATGTTTTCGTTAAGTTGGTAGAAATGACGTATACGACATAGGAAAAGTGTTTTACTACCATAACATCAAATTAAATTTTCACTAATATTGGTTTACAGGGATTTGAGTGATTTTAAGTTTGATTACGAAGTGACTAATTCACAGATAGAGTACCACTAGGGAAAACTGGACGCCTATGTCCTCCTAGTCTGGGGATTCCTTCAACAACCTTCCTTCAACCATGGACCTACCCCCTACTGACAGGGGTCGAATCCGGGATCGTCAGGATAAAATCAACTGGTTAGGCGACAAAACGAAGTAAACAACAACAGAACAGATGTTGTCGACATGTTGATGTCATGAATCCGTATAGAAGGAGTTTTTGACTGTCACTACGATGAGAACTATGGTAGGTACCTCAAGACGCTAGGATAAAAATGGTCGGAGAATGGTAACACGCCTCTGTCTCACACACATGATACTTTCTCTTCGTAATCTCTCAAATCTACTAAATCTTCCCTTTGCATTTCTCTTCTGTGAAGTGATGACTACTTAAACTGCAAAAGTTTCATGAAAAAAGAGGTTTCACATTAAGAATTCCCGGTTCAGTTCACTACTACTTCGACCAATGAATTCGCTAGAGGAGGTGAATATGTCTGTGACTATTTACATATTTGATCAGTAGTTGACGTTATTGACTGAATCGGTTAACGAGCTCATCTTGTACCAGGAAGGTGTCTTGGGGTTCGAACCCCGGCGATAGGTGCGTACACTGATGAGGAGTCATAAACAACAAGGACGAAACAGCTAGTTCTCGAGTACTCTCTGGTGAGTTTTTAATAGTTCGTTAACTGATGGCAATCAGGTGTGGTCAAATACCTGTAACCAATCAAATCTTTGTAAACAACTAACACACGACAATATTTTACATATATATATATATCATCGATAAAAGCCAGTCAAATAATAGACTATGTATGTTTATACTTATTGTCCTGATTCAAAAAAGTTGTTGTCCATGTTTTCTTCAAATAAAAAATGTTTTGTTTTGGTTACAGGATTTCATCGAGAGCTAACATTGGTTAGAGAACCATTGGAAAACCTGGGAGTACTGGACAGCTGTTTCGTCATCATAGTTTGAGACTCTTCATCAGTACGCACCCACCCCAACTGGGTTCGAAATCAGGACCTTCTGGTTACAAGGATAGCGAGCTCGTAGACCATTCATCAGCCACTGGGACACGATCCAATGGTCAGCCTATGAATTCCAACTTCTGCCAATTCACGATATAGCGCAACCACTAGCCAATGTCTTCCGTGGCGAGTATTTGTCCTCACACCCGACCTGCTGCACCCTACTGGTCACGACTCCTCACTCCTCACTGAATAGGGCCAGTCACCAGTGAGCATCTCATTGATATTCAAGTATTGGTTTGTAGGGATTTGGTTGATTGGTTACAGGATTTCGAACCCCTTGTGGTGAGTGCGTACTACTGAAGAGTCCCAAACTAGACTGACGAAACAGCTATCCAGTACTCCAGTCAGCTCATGATGAAATCCTGTAACCAATCTATCAAAATCCCTACAAACCAACAACATTTGAAAAAATGTTTTATTTAGTCATTCTATTACATAATGATATAATCAAATGGATTTGAAAACATAAAACCAACCCAGTAGTAGACAATTATTACGTAATGAATAAATCTAAGAAAAGGTCATTGTGTGATTGATTACTCATCGAAAACTCTTTCCGTCAACAAAACAAATTACTACTACGACTACTACTAGTATAAAGAGGAACAGATCATCATAGAATGAATGAACTGATCGACATTAATGACTGTGGTTAGAAGAGTGACTGTATGTGTAAGTGTGTGTGTGTGTGTCTGTGTGTGTCACAAGACAAGATACAGTTCATCTGTCTCTATCTATCTATCTATCCATCTATTCTTCACTTATTTATTGATCAATTAAAATGTCAATATTTGAGAAATTCGCACTCAATTTACACAAACAAATAAACAAGCAAACAAAGAGAACAGATGATGTAAGACAATGCACTGAACAACAACAACAAAAAAAGAAAGATACCACAAATGTCGACTAACCAAAGAGGGAGGAGAGAGAGATATTCAACATCAGATGTTGTCTGGATGACATGAAATACAAGTGAAAAAGAAAAGTAGTCATTTTTGTTGTGTGTATTTATTTCAATTAGTCAATGAAAACGAAGCGGTTGTTGTTTTTTGCTACTCTACTCATCCTGTGTGTCTATTATATATGCTGGTGTAATTGATTATTCAATTGAGTAACGAATGACATGTGAAGTGAATTAGAGAAAAAAAAGACATTATAACTTAACCAGCATGAAGTCAATTGGTGGTAAATGGTGACTGACTAGCAGTGGAATCCATCAGGATAACGCGCATTTCGTCCTGTTTGGGACTCGTCAGCCAGTGGATGTACCTGCATTCCCGAGTGAGTAGTGGATGGTGTTCCCACCGGGCTTCAAACCCAGTGCACAAGTGGTGGCTCTCGCGGCCACTGTGGAAACACCATCACTCACTGGGGAGTGCAGGTACATCCAATTGAAGAGTCCCATATAGGGTGAAAGACGTATCCTGCATTCCACTGCTAGTCAGCCACTATCCACCAATTGACTTCAAGTTACATGACCAGACATCGTCAAGGACATCTAGACAAGGAGTCGACATGTCAACCTAAGACTGAGAACTTCGGTTCAATTGAATTGAATAATTAACCAGCATGGTTTATAAAAATGACGGAATAAAGTGTACATTGTAGGATAGGTAAATTTGTTACTCATTAGCTTAAGCCCTTGACATTCAGTAGTCAGTGGGAACTGGATTCGAATCCCGTTCCACTCAGTTTACAGCATGGAATTAACTGAATAGTTTTATCAGACCAAACACACACACACCCAATTAGTGTGACTCACAGACTAGAAGATGGAAGACTTTTTCTACCAAATGAGTTGAAACAAAAACGCGGTAGGAAAAGGAGAGGTGCTCACAGCACTTGGATTTCAAGTTGAGTAAGGATAGGAATCATCATACAAACTCTCTGTTACAGTCAAAGGTGGATAGATTTCAGTTGTCCCCTTTGAAATACTCTAACATATGGCTGCCACGCGTTCATTGCGGCCAATGGAAGCCAGTTAAGTTCTATTCATTGCCGATTTCTTCGACGGAGTTGTGAAGTTACATCGACTGAGAGAGATGGTTGGGACATGTGTTACGCATACCTTGCCTTGCCTGGCCTAGCCATCTATCGCCTCCCTCGACAACGGTCAATGTTAGCTGCCCACATAGGATAGATCAGGTTGTTGGGAAAGACCTTGCTGTCGTGGTGTTCAAACCAAATCTACTTATCCATCTCCATATTTGTAAGGCAATGTTTTCTTGGTTGGTTCTCTGTCCCTTACCACAGTCCCTTGTATGCATTTACCGTCCAATCAGTCATGTGACCTCCAATATGGGTGGAAAGAAGACAGTTGTTGTTGAAAGTCTGCAGTAATGTGTTGGAGAGAATACTTTTGATGAAGATCGCGCCTTCTTTGAAGCATATAGAGAATCACTGACTTGACACATAAGTGTTGAAAATTTGAATTTCTTTTCTTTATGTTGAGTGCAGCATAATTCCACAAAATAAATAGGAGAGTTAAAGAGTAATATTTGCAAACTTCATGAAATTTTGCTGACTTGTATGAAAAGAAATTTGCCTTGAATGCATTTCTTATAAGGAGTTTGACTTGACCACCCCCCTTAGCTCTTTTCCAACCTGAGGCTATGTTAGCTAGCTTGACACATTGACTGTCGAGAATAGCGATGGTGATGAGTAACACACGTGCTAATCTCAGCATTATTCACCATAGTATTCCCCACTTAACACGCGAGATAGGATGCAGACACCTATGATCAAAGACAACTAGCTGGTCTGTCTTTTCATGTCTTCTACTTTCAGTGGTCACAAATGAGGATGGAGCGAGTCGTTGCTCAGTGTACACACTTTTCCTTTGATGATCGACAGACGGCGGGATATATCACGTCTACTAAGTCAGAGATGGTGTAAATTGGCAAATGTCATATGGGTCTTTTGTATCCTCGTTCTGAGATTTAGTCAACCATCACTCCGTTTGAGCCTGATGAATTGGCATGATATAATTGATATTTTCCTTTACTAATAAACGTCACATGATTGGTGTCACTTTTCACCTTCATCAAATGTAACGTTTACTTATTATACACCTAACAAAATGTACATATATAGTTCTGTTCTTGGAAGCACCTCGCTCTCACAACACTCACTTTTACCTATATTCTATGTAACGAAAAACAGAATTGTTCAGTATTTTATGAAGGTGGATAGATTTCAGTTGTCCCCTCTGAAATACTCTAAGACTGCCGCCACGTGTTCATAAAGGCCACTGCCATCCCGTTAATTCCTATTCACTACCTATTTATTCGACGGGGTTGTGAAGTTACATGAATTGAGAAAGATGGTTAAGACATGTGTTACGCAGGCATCCTCCCCTAGCCATCGATCGCCTTCCTCGACAACGGTCAATGTTACTTGGCTGACATAAGACTGATCAGGTTGGAAAAGAGTTAGTGATTGGTGATCAAACCAAAACATGGCTTCAACAGTCGGTGAAATCCACAACAGTTAGTTTAAGCCATCCAGCGAGACACGTAGGGAGGTGTAGACTCCCTGGTCAGTCAGTGAAGCATCTGTGTACATATACACAACATATTAAATATGTTCTCAAAGCAACGTTTATTTTTTTATAAAAAAAAAATAAAGACTAACCATAGTAAGCTGATTTATCTCGTCCACGTGTCCAAAATTTTCTTCTATCATCATCATATTTCGTATTAAATTTAACAGAATTATTTTTTGTAAAAATTGATTCTGTATTATTACGCCCGGTAATTAATTCTTGATCAGCAGGTAAATGATTAATGATATATCGACGTTGACGTTTATCTTTCGGGAGACAATATGGTCCAACAGCTGTGACAAATGGACTACTCATTAATGATGATGACACGACGACAACTGGCTGGAGAAAAACATTTCGATTATGAGCAGAATCATCATCATCATCGTCATAGTTATCATTCCCAAAGTCGTGATTGCGATTCTTCTGTTTATTAGTATTATTATTTATATTACTGATATTGCTTTCATTATAGCCATCATCACCATCATCACATTCATTGCCTGCAAGCGGGACAGGATGTCTATTCATTGTTGTTGTTGTTGGTTTCATTGAAAAATTAACCGATTGTTGATGATGATGATGATTCGATTTCACTGGAATCTCTGAGAATGCTTTGAAGGCGGGGAACTTTAGGAAGACTAACTCGTATGGATTAACAGATTTCTTAGGATAGGCTGAAAGGGAAACAAACGGATATCGGTGGTTTACAATGCAGTAAGTATAAAGTAAAGTACCAGACAAACTCGCAAAATGGTCCCGGGTTCAGAACCCGGATACACTGATGCGCTGCTCCTGAAGCTCACCTAGTAGTTTATTGCCTGGCTGTATGTAAGTGCCGACAAGAAATGACAAGGTAAGGAGGCGCGAGTGTTAGTGTCCACATTGAAATTCGAATCTCAACACCCATCACACTTCAAAAGTCAAAGCGTCTTCGAAGCTAGTACAAACCTCTTTGAGTCAGTCAGCAATTAAGGGTACCAAGTGGAACATAGGCTCTCAACAACATTGTCCTATTTAACTGGGTCCAAAATTGTCGGCAATCTCTCATATTCTGCTATCCACACGATCTCCTCCATGTCACACTAGTGGGCCCAAGCCCAATTTCAATGGCTATATTTCGCTCACAGGCATAAAGGAGCGAACTTCCAAGCCAATATATACGTCGTTTGATCAATAGCCCATCGGATATATCACGTCTACGAGAGAGAATTGGAGTAATTTGGAGAATTTTTACATCAACCTTTTGTCTGTGTCCTGAGAATTTATCAGTGATCTGGTCCATTAAGGCAGATGAAACAACCAACCACTTCACTCCTTATATTTAACCTGTTGGTCAGTCAGTGGAGACTAGTCCTCAGAAGCATCATTCTCCATTTGATGATAACGAGGAATCGCCAAAAATGTCGAAAAAACTGCATCTTCACCTAGGAGGATAATATCATTCAAATGTTCTAGGTCCACAAGGCTGTTCCTAGGTAGTAACACGTCAATCCTTAAATTCCTAAGGTCCATTAGTACATCTGTGATGACATCAAAGAGAAATAGCAACAGTGGGTATCCCATCAAATCGACGTATTAAATGATAAGGTTATATTTCGTATGTGATGTAAACAATCAATTTAGGTGGATATTTATCATAGTTACGATAATGATAAGAATAATAATAAAGATTAGGCTAAAACAAGAAATTGTACATCAACTCACAAGCATTACGATGATGGTGATGATGATCATAGCGCTCTGATCGTTTCGACACATCATAACTACGTCCACCGGATAGCTGGAAAATAACAAACCAGAATATATATTCAAAAGTCTTCTATGTGTTGATAAAAAAATAAATCTTACATTTAATAATAACTAATAATTTTGTGACTGACCGATTGACTGACTAACAGGTTTCAACATAGAACTTTGCAAAGATGTGCCCCTGTTCCAGTTGCCACTCTTCCTCCATGGAACACACAAAGAAAGAGAAAAGAGTAAAGAGAGATTCAAAAGAGAGACAGATAATAAACAGAAGAGTCAGTGAGGGAAAAAAATAACAATATGGAAGAACAATAGAATCATAATCACCGAAAACGATTTTGAGCGATATCACCGATAACTGTCTCCAGTCTCCATTAGTCCTAACCATCCCGAAGACCTTAACCAGTCACGAAGTCTACATCTCGATGACTTAAACTAAATATTATGGATTTGATTGACTGATGAAGTCATGTTTTGGTTTGACTACTACATGCCGGCTCTTTTCCATCCTGATCGATGGTATGTCGGCAGCTAACACTAGCCACTGTCGAGGAAGGTGAGCGGCCGCTAGGCTAGGCAAGGAATGCGTAACACATGTCCTAACCATCTCTCTCAGTCGATGTAACTTCATAGCCTGATCGATTGATTTTCCCTCCCTTCCACCCACCTAGCACTCAACTGGCACCTGACCTCAATGTTACTCATCCTATCACATCTACCACGGAACACGGGAGATGGAACGCAAGCATACATGATCAATTTGATAAGAAACGAAACTTCACCGGATAGAAATATTAATCTTCGTCTCAAATTAGTATGTGCACATTTTAGGTGTCTTTTGCACTAAAACACTATTTTTATGACTTATTCGTTAGGGAATTACTTTGAATATACTCCCGCTAACCGTAATGCTCCACCACCTCTAGTAGGCTCTGAGGATAGACGCGTCGACATGGCACTGATATGAATACGAATTTCTTTAGTTGACAACATCTAAAAATGTTGTGCAGGAGCGCGGATTGCTTCCTGTTTGTGACCCGTCAGATAGATGTACCGCCTCTCTATCCTAGTGCATGATGGTTTCCGAATCATGAATGACTCAAATCCAGGATGCATCGTTTCGAAAGTTGGTCCAGGCAAAGACAGAAAGAGAACTCACTCAACAACAGACATCTTTTTTAATTGAATTGAATTTTAGATTTTCCGTCCACTGATTGATTGGACCGATGTGCTCGGTCTCAGGTTGACATGTCGGCTTCTTGTGCAGATGCTTCGACGATGTCTGGGCATGTAATTCGAATTCAATCGGAGAATGGTGACTAGCAGTGGAATCCAGGATAACGCGCATTTCGTCCTGTTTGGGACTCGTCAGACGGATGTGTCTGTCAGTGAGTGATGATTTTCACACCGAGGCTCAAACCCAGTGCCTATAGTTTCAAACGCCAAAGCGTTATCCACTAAACCACTAGGGCGAAGAGTCCCAAATAGGACAAAATGCGTCTTATCCTGGATTCCCCTGCTAGTCACCATCCACCAATCAATTTCGAATTACATGCTCAGACATCGTCGAAGCATCTGCACAAGAAGCCGACATGTCAACCTGAGACCGAGCACTTCGGTCCAATCAATCAGTGGACGGGAAAATCTAAAATTCAATTGAATAATTAATATGGCCCTTTGCACAAGAGGTGGCTCTCGTCGCCCAAGTGGTCAAGTGGATAACGCTTTGTCGTTGGAAACTGGGTTCGAGCCTCGGTGGGAGAATCACCATTCACTGGGGAATGCAGGTACATCCAGATGACGAATCAGTTTCAAATAGGACGAAATACGCATCCTAGTGGATTCCACTGCTAGTCACCATCCACTAATTCAATTCGAATAGACGTCATTTTTTAGTTACTCACTAGTCACATAGACAAGGTTCCGATGTTCGAAACAACAGGTACATGGTTTGATGCCTACACACTAACACCACAGCTTACAAGGATAAAGGTGTATCCAATTGACGAGTCGTAAAATAAGACGAAATACACGTGTCCTACAGTCCCAATGTTATCCATCACGAAGGGAAAAAAGACAACCCGACAATTTTTATGTTATACTTACCACAGATGTGTATTTTCACGCAATCCACGGATTAATATACAACGTATCGTTTAAAAGTAAATTAGTTCGTCGTTAAATAAATTTTTTTTAAATGTAAAAATACATTTTCTTTGTTGTTTTGTTATTTTCCATAGTTGTATAATTCATAAAATACTGAACAGTTCTGTTTTTCGTTACATAGAATATAGGTAAAAGTGAGTGTGTGAGAGAGAGGTACTTTCAAGGACAGCACTATATATGTACACTTTATTAGGTGTATAAGAAGTAAACGTTACATTTGATGAAGGTGAAAAGTGACACCAATCATGTGACCTTTGTTCGTAAAGAAAAATACCAATTATGGTTGACGAAATCTCAGAACGAGGATACAAAAGACCCATATGACATTTGCCAATTTACACCATCTCTGACTTAGTAGACGTGATATATCCGGCTGTCTATCGATCATCAAAGGAAAAGTGTGTACACTGAGCAATGACTCGCTCCATCCTCATCTGTTACCACTGAAAGTAGAAGACATGAAAAGACAGACCAGCTAGCTGTCTTTGATCATAGGTGTCTGCATTCTGTCTCCCGTGTTAAGTGTGCTATAATGTGATTAGCAATACTGAGGTTAAGACATGTATTTACCCATTGTCATCGCCTTCCTCGACAGTCAATGTCAAGCTAGCTAACATAGCATCAGGTTGGAAAAGAGTTAAGGGTGGTAGTTAAGTCAAGCTCCTTATTTTGACATCTTGCTATTTATAGAAATGCATTTCGGTTAAATTTCTCTCCATACTGAAGTTTGCAACTATTACTCTTTAACTCTCCAACTTATTTTTCTGGAATTATGCTGCACTCAACAGAAAGAAAAGAAATTCGAATTTTCAACAGGAAGAAACGGTGGTGAATTGGTAGCCATACTCTGAGAAACCAAACCATCAAATGACATCACACGACAGTCCATCACTCGAGTGGAACCCGAACAGGAAGCAATCAGTTGGTCGTCAGTGCGAGGCTGACATGGAGGAGGTCATGTGAAGAGGAGATGAAAGCATGTAGGCAGACGTGGAGCAAGGTGATGAAAACGTTGGCAGAGAACCGAACGCAATGGAGATGTGCGGCTGAAACCCTATGTTCCTCTAGGAATTAAAGGAAACAACAATAATAACAATAATGTGTCGAGTCAGTGCTTCTCTTTATGGTTCAAAGACAGTACAATCCTGATCAAAAGTATTCTATCCAACACATTAATGCAGACTTTCAACAACAGTTGTCTTCTTTCGACTCATATTGGAGGTCACAGGACTGGCTGGAACTCTGATAGGACAGAGAACCAACCAAGAAACTATTGCCTAACATATATGGAGATGGATAAGGAGATACTCTGGGACGACTGTCAAGTGACACCATGATAAGCTAATCAAACCTTCAGTTGAAACCCTGACTGACGTAGAACTTTGAACAGATATATGTGCAGAAGTTAGAGTGAGGGGAAAAGAACGGTGGTAATATGGAAGAACAATAGAATTTTATTGGAGATGACAAATCACGAAGAGTGAATGCATCTGTGCCATCCGTTGAGCCATAACGCCGATTGTCTCCAGACTTCATTAGGTTCCTATCGTCCCGAGGACCCCAACCAGCCAGTCAGAAAGTCTACACCTCCCTACACGGCTGGCTGACTGGCTACCTGGCTTAAACTAAGGGTTATGGGTTTGATTGACTGATGAAGCCATGTTCTGGCTTGAACAGCACCACCACAACTAGCTCTTTCCCATCAACCTGATCCATCTTATGTCGGTAGCTAACATTGACCGTTGTCGAGGAAGGAGATCGATAGCTGAGCTAGGTAAGGTAAGGCCTGCGTAACACATGTCCTAACCATCTCTCTCAATCGATGTAACTTCACAACCTCGTCGACTGACTTCCCTCCCGTCCTTGTCTTACCTAGAAGTCGACGCCTAACCAACTGAATATTGCTCACCTTATTACATCAACCACCTAAGACGGACGATAGAACGCAGACACCTATGATCAAAGATAGCTAGCTAGCTTGTCTTTTCATTTCTTCCATTTTCAATGGTCATGTCTCGCTCACAAGCATCAAGGAGGAGAAGGAGTGAGGGAACTGCTGTCCAGTACACACGTCTTCTGGTCGATGATAGCCAGTCAACCAGATATCATGTCTACTAAACCAGAGATGGTGTAAGTTAGCAAGTGGTAAACGGAGCTTGTGTTTGAGTGCTGAGATCTCGTCAGCGATCAACCTGTTGGGGCTGGCTGATGCAGATAAGGGAAGTAGTCAACACGCTCAGCCACCACTTCACTCCCCTGGAACCCGAATGGGAAACGATGAGTTGGGAGTGGTACTGAGGGTAACCATGAAGGATATCGTGTAACAAGGAAGACGAAAGTTTATATATATATATATATATATAACAATAATATAGTAATAATAAAATGTAAAGTTAAAATTAGTACCTGACACATTTTCAAACACGTCATAGCTGCATTTTCATCAGGGAATACAAATAACAGTTCAACACCAGCTGCAATATGTCCAAAACGATAACAACGGAATTTTGAACGAATATCCTCCTCATTAGTATTGACATTATTATTACTACTGCTGGTAGTATTGTTATAATGAGAGTCTGTCGTCACCGACGTCGTCGTCGTGGTCACTGTCGTCATTGGGATATTGACAGAATCATTATTTTCAACCGATGTTTGTTGTGGTGGATGAGATAAACCCGAGAAATGAGGATCCATCCAATCTGGATTGTTGATAACAGTACTAGATGGACGTGAAGAAGAAGAAGCAGTAGGTGTTGAAAGTTGATTTGAATTCGAACCTAAAGGTAACCAGTTGGGAAAATTGGCTGGTAATGCTTCAGCACGCCAAATAAGACCAGGAATAGGTAGAACTAAACAAGAAGCTGATGATGAACTAATCGATTTGCCAGGAATATTCGACGACGAGATAGATGAACAGTCGGTTTCAGAAGTTGATGGATGATGATATGATATAGAGTCATCGTTTAATCCATCTTGGGATCTTGATGTATTATGCGTTTTAGATGATGATGAATAATCACGAAGACTATTCAAACTTGCATTTCGTGGATAGATAATATCATTTGTATGTTTAGATGTCTAAATAAAATAAATTTGAAAAAAAGGACGTGAAATAGATTATTGGACACTGATCAATTAGGAGTTAAATTTGGCGGTCTGCTCAAAATTTGAGCTACTGAAAAAACCTTCATCAATATATCCCATAATTTCTTTATATATGTCCCCCCAAACCAAGTTCACTTTTAACAGTTTGAAAAAAAATTTGGGCATTGGGTATATGCGATATTCATTATAATAATAAAGGTTGCTTTTGTATTTCCCAATGAATGAATGAATGAAAAAGGCAAGACGATATTGTTGTGTCTACTGACGTTTCGGTATTTAATGCCGGTGCTAATAGCATTATCAAAATTAGTCACATTAAACCAGAATTTACAAAATCCACTCAGCTTATACATATAACAACTTAATCATCGTTCCTCAGCATGGGGGCATTTTTGCGTTGTCAAATTGGCCAATCGGTAAAACCAGGTGTAGACTGTTGGATTTGATAAGTGTGTAAAATTATAAAAGCAGTATGTGTTTACCTAATGAAATTGCTTATCACACATTTGTGTTGATTTTGTCATTTCATGGGGGAGGGAAGGGGATGTTGTAACCAGGTCAAATTCTGGTTTAGTCCATCATCATTCCTATTCAGACAATTTGGATTCCAATTGACATGAAGTGCTTCTGATGATATTAGACGTTCTTTGTGATTTCTGAAATGCTTTTTCTGGATTATTTCAATATTGTCAAAATCCGTTTTGTGATCTGATTCTATAGCATGTAGACGAGCTATGGCTGATGATTTTCCAAGCTTTTATAGTTCAACTGGATTTCCTGGTGGTCGAACAGATGCGGCTATACACTGTTCATTTCTTCTGATTTTGATTTCCCATGCTGAGGAACGATGCTTAAGCTGCTCTATATATATGCCGAGATTTTGTAAATTCTTCTGGTATAATAATACTTTGATAAAGCTATTAGCGGGAGCATTAAATAGAGAAACGTCAGTAAAAACAACGACTATATCGTTTTACCCTTTATCATTCGTTCATTGGGAAATACAAAAACAACCTTTACTATAATGTACATATAATTTCTCCTATTCTCTCTGTGTGAATCTACTTAAGTACTGGTTACTCTGACGAGTATTTTAAATATTTACAGCCTACTGTCTCGCATGTTCTTACTAAACATAAGAAGAAGGATATTATCCTCCATGGGAACTTAACCCACCGAGTACATGAGAAAATCGTTCCTCAGTGGTGTCCTCCTTGGTTCACAAAATCTACTCCTTAACCTTTCATAACTGGTATTCAACAAAATGTCACCGTATATTTCTCGAAGGTCAGACAGAACTGTGTCACACACGATCAATCTACTGTCAGTCAATTAATCTTTTATTTACAGATCCTGTACGAAGCGAAAATACATCATGCAATAACCTCTGCTGAAAATTCTGCACATTACTTAACCATAGTTCAGAATTTTTTTTTTATTCCTTCACGTTCCCACTGGAACATAGGGCTCCAAGCTAGAGACTTGAAGTTTCTGTAGCAGTGTTTATTTTTACAGAGTGGGGTTGCTAGCCTCATGCCCAACCTTTCCTCTTTACCAGCTTTATCCCTGGCTTTGAGAGGTTAAGGAGTGCGTCCGTGGCCGGGAGTCAAACCCCGGACCATGTGCATGATCGGCGAGCGTCCTAACCGCTATACCACCGACGCACCATAGTTCAGAATAAAGCTATTATTATCATTATTAAATTATGCCATAATTTTTATTTTATTTTTTTTTTTTAATTTTGACTACAGCTTGATGCCACACCGTATTTTCAGTACAAGTATGGAATTTTCAGCATGGATATCAGTAGCCCAAATTTTGCAGGCCGACCATAGATATCAGGTGTGCATCGGCAGGGGATCGAACCCCGGACCATGTACATGGTCGGCGAGAGTCCTAACCACTGTGCCACCGACGCACATAATTAGTACGATTATTAATCGGAAAATGTCCCCTTGAAAGATACTAATTCATCACATACTTCTTCTTCATTAATGGTAATGTGAAAGGTGGAGAATATGAAAGAACTACTCTTCGTAACAGTTGTACAATCAGTGAAAAACAATATGTAAATAGTTGAATCCCATTAGACAGTAGATATGATTTCTTGGTTTAAAAGCCCAACAACTTTCAAACAATCTATCTCGGGTTCGAATCCCTACTTCGTTTTCTTTAGTCTGAGCAACTCTGACTGGTGTACATGAGAAATCTGTTTGAGACAACTGAGTCCTAACTAATCAGTTGTGTTCTCTGAGCTGCTGCCAGTTGATTTAGTTGCGAAGCCTTCATCGTTCTCCTTCTGGACAACATCTTCAGTGCATGTTTTCAATTCTCCATGAATTCAAATGTGTTCATTCCATATAAAAGCCTGAGCTGAAGAATTTGTCTAGAAGGAGGACGACGAAAGCTTCTCAATTAGATCAACTGGCGGCAGCTCAGACGGCACAACTAATTCAAAATCATCCACCTGAGCTACAAATCTTCTCTATTATTCTTAACTAATCAAATAACTACGAAGTTAGCCAATCCGCTGCATGCAGGATAAGGAGAACAAGATTCATTGCTTCCATATGACTTTCAAAGACTTGGTCCTCCCGTCCCCCACAAAAAAACATTTCCCAACCAGGCGACATCAGCTGCCCATGCTGAAGATGAGATAGCCAGATAGGACTAACAATAAAGGAACTCTGGCAACCAAGAATCTAACGCCCATGGAATATGCGCAGTAGGAAACGAAGGTAGATTGAACACTTAGTGAAAAGACATTTGAGTGACAACATGCGTGTTGGTCAACACCATTAGAACACGAATGTGGAACGACAACAAGTTGGGTGTGGGTTCAAGGATGACATGGAGAAGATAGTGTGAGGGGGAAATGAAAGCTTATGCGCAACCGCGGACTGCAGAAAGCAGTCTGAAATGGAGATGTGATGCTAGAGCTGTATGTTCCACTCGAAACTCCAGGGAATACAATAGTAATAGGCTATTGTTTTGCTGTTTGTTTTTTATTCCTTTACGTTCTCAGTGGAACATAGGGTATCAAGCTAGATGCCTGAAGTTTCTGTAACAGTGGTGTTTATTTTTACAGGATGAGATTGCTAGCCTCATGCTCAACCTTCCCTCTTTACCAGCCTTGATACTGGCTTAACGAGGTAAAGGGGTGTATCAGCCGGAGATCAAACCCGGGACCACCTGCGTAGACGCCGAGCACTCTGTCGCTGTGATAAACTAACTTCTATATTATTTTTGTATAACAGACATGTGGATGCTTAATCGTATATTTATCAAACAATATTACCACTTACAAATAGACATATTACTTCTTCTTCTGATTTCACGTTGATCAAACACACACACACACACACACAAACGGAACTACCATACGATTTTAGCATGTGTTTTGCGAATTTCAATAAACATGGTAACATCTGATATTTTGGAAAAATCCAAGTGGTAACAGATAAATATATACACAAATGACTATCACACATATATTGTGTGTTAGACACTTCCCGATCAGTAATTCAACCAGGGTGGTGTTACTGTCAAAATCTTTTTACAGAGGAGCACAAGTTTTTATTGTCCCTGTTATTATTATTATTATTCCCTTGGGTTCCGGGTAGCATGTAGGGCTTCAATAACATATCTCCACCTTGTCCTATTTTCTGCACTCCTCTTCAGATGGGTCCACGATTTTCTATAATCTCACATCTCCTCCATGTCACCCTCGTACTGACGACCCACTCAATTCTACCTACTCAGGTTCCACTCAAACGATGGTTTGATGTCATTCGATGGCCTCCTCAACGCATGCCCAATACATCTCCGTTTCCTCCTAAATATTTGTTGAGCACTCCTCTCTTTAATGGTTTTTTGCCAGAGTTTCTTGTTGCTAATTCTTTTTGGCCGTCCGGCTGGCCATTTGATCTTCAATATGGAGCCAACAAAATGGGCAGTAGCCTGTTGGATACGCTTTCCTTGACACGTCAAGACTATGATCCATATAGAAGAATTGACTGACCACATTGGTGCTGAAAATCCGAATCTTTTTCTTTGTGCTCAGTTAGTGTGAGGCAGATGATGAAGGCGTATCTCGCCTTTCCGATTCTGGCCTACTTTGACATCTTCATACGTTCCGACTGCCTGTGGTTGAAACCGTGCTTCCTAGCCAGATAAGTGAAGGAAGTAACCACTTTCGAATTTCTCTCGTTGATAGTGATTGATGTTGGTTGGATGGTTATCTTCATCACCTCTGTCTTCTCTATGTTCACCTGGAGTCCTGTCTATGCTTCCAGGCTTTTCAGCTAGTTTATTGATTTCCGGCTGCAGGTCTTGGAGTTTCTGTGAAATCAAACATAAATCACCCGCCGCAAAGTTCAGATCATCTGGAGACTTCTTTTCAGTTCAACGTATTCCTATCTTCTCACCCTCTTAGCACAATCTGACGCACAATCCAGTCCACCACAATTAGGAATATCATCGGTGATAATTGTGTGTCGGTGGCACAGCGGTTAGGACACTCACCAGCTATGCACATGGTCCGGGGTTCAATCCCCGGCCACAGACGCACTCCTTAACCTCTCTAAACCAGAAATAAAGCTGGTAAAGAGGAAAGGTTGGACATGAGGCTAGCAACCACACTCTGTAAAAATAAACACTGCTACAGAAAAACTTTAAGTCTCTAGCTTGAAGCCCTATGTTCCACTGGGAACGTGAAGGAATAAAAAAACCGGTGATAATAGGTGGCAGCCTTGTCTGACTTCTTTATTCACTTCGAACGCATCACTGAGTTTTCTGTTGAGGATAACCTGGAACTCAGAGCTGTCATAGAGCTGTTGGATGAGGGTGTTAAAGATTCGGTTACTGCAATGCATAGTGTTGGAGTAGTTTCCAAATTACTTCTAAGTCAACATCGCCTGTCAAAGGCCTTTTCGAACTAGATAAAGTTAAGGTAAAGGTTTAACTGCCATTCTATGCTTTGTTCGATGATGACGCTGTAATTTCAGCAGCACATGATTTGTTCTTATGCTGTGTGTCTTGTAGATGCTTAGTACTTGGAATTCCATTTGCGCGTTCACATTCTCAAATGTATTAAAGTTAACCGACTACAGATGATTATGCTTTAAAATTGGAGAATACTGGCACTGTAAAATAGGAAAAAGTAGAATTCAAAATTCCCTAGCTAAGGTTCGACCCCGTTATCATACGGTCAGTCACCAGCATTCGATGCCTACCATCCAGCTGCAGATAATCAACCGTCTTAATCATTCTTTCTAAAGCTAACTGGATAAAATATCCGGTGTCTTTATAGCGAATAGTGCTGTCATGCTGCTGAGCAGTTCAGTTGAAGGGGTATACATTTGGACGGATTATTGGATGATTAGGATTCACATAGGTAGTGCAAGATAATCAATCGGCAGTACTCAAATAATCTTCTCTAATCCATCCCAAATATGCTCTACCGACGGACTTATGCTTCTGGACATGGTGGCGTCCACGCCTCTTGGGTGACTGAAGCTCGACTTTGCTTCATAAACATATAAACAGAGAACAGTATCCGCCTGACTTGAAGCTAAACACACACCTTGGAGCATAAGTGCTCTTCATTAATATTTACACAAAGGCCAATTAAAGGCAGAATAAATCAAGATTAAAAATGTAGACACAACACAAATGACTCTCACTTTACTAGTAGTTCGACCAGCTCCATAAAATGCCCATGATGCTTTGATAAATTTCACTTCGCCATCAGCAACACACATGTAATACGGTTTCCATGCGTAAGATTTACTATCCTGAAAAGAAGAAAAGAGAAAAGAAAAGCCACAAACAATAATATTAACTCAAAGTGATTAGGATAAATTCATAAACAAACGAGAGAAAATAAAGTACTCTAAAAAACGGAAAACGTTTTGAACAAGGACCAGTGCGACTCAGCAAAAATCTAAAGGGTTAGGTAAGGGAGGGTGAATCAGTCGATGAGGCTGTGAAGCTTTTATGACCGGAAATTAAGGCACTGGTTAATCTGTCCTGATCGCACATCAACAACAAAAAGAAGAATAACAATAATACCGCTGTACCGCAGAGACAGAAGAAAAGATTGGACGCTGGTAAAAGAGCTTTTTACTGTCTCAAAACAACAGTCCAAAAAAGGTTGACAGCGCTTATATATATATGTTTAAAATGACCTTGAGAAGCATAAATGTCATTGGTAAATTAAGACAGTGAACAACCAATAGGATTTCGAAGGTCATATTAAGTAGGGTGAGAGAAAATTTGGTCATAAATCCATAAGTGTGGTGAGAGAAATGCAAACATACACGTAAAAGGGACATGTAGAAAATTAAGTCTGTATCTATCAGAAGCTACATCGGTTCAGATGGCCTAGGACACGACGTGTTGTGCATGCCAAGCCAACGCATTCCTCCACGGTCAATGTTAGCTGACATAGCTTAGACAAAACAGTTAGGGGTAGTCACAGGCCAGGTTTCACAGGCGTAGAGCAAGACAGCGCGCACTGTAGCATTGTAAACCCGATCTCTGACAGCCAGACTAATGTCGCTATGGCGCCGGAGGTGGTGACTCAAGTTGAAGCATGCCACCCTAGCTTTCATGATACGGTTGGAAATCTCGCCCGTTACATCTCTACCAGCACTCAAACAACTACCGAGATACACGAACTTATCGACAACTTCAGGCGGTTCAGCTGCAAGAGTGAGTGCAGATACAGGCTTCTGACAATCTTGTAATAGTACCTTGCACTTAAATGGCTCAAAGCATATCCCCTACTTACAGACATTGATCGCCTTACGATTAGGTGTGATTTGGGTAGCCTGCATGCTTGAGGTTGAAAAGTCTTTCTCCAGGAAGCAGACCTACACACACTTCCTTCAGAGCTGACGTAGGAAAAAACCACTCGGTTACGCATCCGGGGACTAGTTGAAAACTAAGATAGTAACATCCGTCTATACCTAATTCGATATAATTTAGAGCTTATGGACAGAGATGGTGAGCTAAGGTTTCGAACTAGTGAATATGAATGTATGTGTATAAAATCTACGGCGCGAAAACAGTATAAAAAGTTTATATAAATAAATAATATTGAAACTTACGGATCCACTAATAGCGAGAATTTTACAAAAACACTGACGCGATAGGAATGATCCGGACATATCACACAAGATATTCTGGGAAAAAAAGAAGAAATAAATGACAGAGAATCAATCATGAGAATAATAAGATTTGATGATGATATATCAAATTTCATATCTGCAATAAACTGAAGCTTTTATAAATTCCCTAAAAAGGTGAGTATCCAATTGTCGTAATTTTTTCCAATGTCCATTCACCAACCACGTGTGAAGTGCTGTAGAGCCGCCGAATGGAGGTGATGCGGAAGAAGAAATATTTCGACGTAGTTCGATTCTCTGAGCTGGGTGGTTTACTTGTGAAACTCTCATTGCCTTACTAGGCAACATCCTCAGCGCATATACTTCAATTTGATGAAGTGAGCTTTTAGATATCTCTACGAGTTTCTTAGTTATCTCTCTTGGTGATCACCCTGAATGTGACTGGTTGTTTTTGTCTGTTTTCATACCCTCTAGTCAACCTATATTGGTATTGATTGTTTCCTTGACCTGAAGTTTGACTCTTATAGATGGTTAAATTTTATCTATGTCAATGTGTCTGTTAATTGACGATCCACTGGAATAACAGGCTTCCAAAAGATTCTCTGGCTTTCTTGGTGTTTCCTCTGCCTAACATTTGAACGTTGTCCCACTCGCATTGATGTCCACCGTTGTCTGTATGCAGTGAGTGATATGAGGGGTGGGGAGAGTGGATATTGTGTCTTCTGACGGCTAGTTTGTGATCATAGATACGAAGACGAAGAAGGGGGGGGGGCCAAACTTTAACCAATATAGTGTTTTTCGCAGTCATTGGAATTTAGTTTTGTAGATCATGTTGGTCAAACAAACAATCAATTCCAATACTACAAGTAGACTAGAAGGGGGTCAAGATAGACAATCACATTCAAGGTCACCCACCAGGAGAGATGACAAATAAACTTGTGGAGAAATTCAAAAGCTCACTTTGTGGTGAGAGCAAGCTGCTAGCCAATTGGTAGACATTGATCTACGCTGATTGGTGGAAATTAACCTGGGCTGATTCAACAACCGATCACAGCTGACCTAGACGTGGACAAATATGATTCGCAGACAAGTGGCTCGCATTTCCGAGAAATATCGAAAACGAGAAAGCAGAAGACTGCGTTTGTTTGCAAACAACCAATCAGAAGACCGCCTTCTTTCTGCGGGCAGAGCCTTATTAATGTACGTAAAATACATATAAATACCTGTTGGTTTTCGTAATAAAACTGATCTGTTGCCTGGCCCTTGTCTTCTGTTGTTACAACTTCATCAAATTGAAGTGTATACGCTGAAGATGTTTCCTAAGGAGGAGGGGGGCAATGAAGGCTTCACAAGTTAAGAGGACACATCTGCATCAAAATCATCCCCCTTCAGGTACAAATCTTCTCCATTATATCTAAGATGAAATGTGGTTCTTCAATGATCACTAGTTTTCAAACTACTGCTTGTTAGTAGTGATCATTGTTAATCCACATTTAATCCCTAGTTGTTTTTTGTGCTTATCAGTAAATGAATTGTATTATTATTATTAAATGAGATCAAATTATATATTAGTCAGCTAGTTAGTCATTCAAATCACGTGAATAATAATAATAATAATAATAATAATAATAATAATGAGAAGTAGAATATGTTGTAATGAACGACGAGACGTGAAATCAAAACGATATGACACGCATAACACAATGTACCATAAATGTAAACTCTACAAAGTGATACAAAGCAATATTTATTTCTAAGTTGTTCTCAAGTACCTACAAAAATCGATTATTGAATTATACAGCTGAACAAGCGCACTTAATCCACACAATACGTGAATTCATAACTTGAAATTTTTGACTATAGATCACTTAATGAGTACACTGTTTACATAGGATAGATAGGTTTTACAAAAAAGGTCTAAGCAGAATAAAGTAAGATAATTATAATTGTGCTCACACACATGAATGTTTGACATGTGATTCGCTCCCTTTGTAAAATGTAGGATAATGAGGCTACACGACTACACTGGTGAAGCGGTTAGTGCGGCACGGTGACCACTTCACTTATTTATTTAGAAATTTTCATCGACCCCAGCCGGTTAATCACTGACGAAATTTCCGCGCACATACACAAGGCTCGTTTACAACGTGCCAACTTACACCATCTCTGGCTTAGTAGACGCCATATCCGGCTAACTGGCTACCCGCCACAAGACGTGTGTATTGCTCAGCAGTTTGCTCACTCCTCCTCCGTTATGGCTGAGTCAGACGGGACCTTCGCAAAGACGAAAGGCATTAAAAGGCAGGCTAGTTAGTTGTCTTTGATCATAGGGGTCTGCATTCTATCTTCCATCTTAGGTGGTTGGTGTAATAAGGTGAGCCATATTCAGTTGATTAGGCGTCGACTGCTAGATAAGACAAGGAGGGGGAGGGTAGTCAATAGACGAGGTTGTAAAGTTACGTAGATTGAGGGAGCTGGTTGGGGACATGTGTTACACATGCCTTATCTAGCCTAGCCTAGACTAGCTGAGCCATTGATCGCCTTCCTCGACAACAGGCAATGTTAGCTACCGACATAGGATGGATCAGGTTGTAGGGAAAGAGCTAGTTGTGGTGATGTTCAAACCGAAACATGGCTTCATCAGTCAATGAAATCCATAACACTTAGTTTAAGCCAGGTAGCCAGCCAGCCAACCACGTAGGGAAGTGTGGACTGCCTGGCTGTCTGTCTGTCTGGTTGGGGTCGTCAGGATGGTAAGAACCACTGAAGGCTGGAGACAATTATCGATGATATGGCTAGAAATCGTTCTTAATGGATAGTGCAGATGCATTTACTCTACGTGATTTATCATATCAAATAAAATTCTATTGTTCTTTCATATTACTAACTCCTCTTTTTCCCTCAATCACACTTCTGTTTATTATCCGCCTCTCTTTTGAACCTATCTTTACTCTCTTCTCTTTCTTTGTTTGCTACATGGAGGGAGAGTGGCAACTCAAACTGCTGCACATATATCTGTACAACGTTCTACATGGAAATCAGTTAGTCAGTCATTCTATTAAGCACGTAATACAGAATATCCTCCATGGACCGACTATCTGAAGAAATTCAAACCGCAATTAACCGCCTCTATTCCACCTATTCATCAAGTAGGTTGAAACGAAAGCACAGAAAGTTTGTCTACCTATAACAACTTATCTACTCACTCTCCCTTAATCCATTTTAAACCTAAAACTCTCTAACTATAAAAATACAAGGATGACATTGGAAGATTTAAACTAGTGAACGGAAACGGTATGAACAGGAAGGAATGATCTGATTGGTCGTTAAAGGTCATCTGATAGAGGTCGTTTGCTTCCGTTGTCAGCACTTTATGTTTACCATGTCCTGTTTAGTAATTTAAAACAAACAGAAAACTATTTCCATACTACACTCTGATGTAGAAAATTACTTCTACAGATGAGAAATAATTATTTTAGGTTCAGAAAGAACAAAAAAGTGAGCAAGAATATCCTTTTCGATCGATAATTTCCTCTTCTGGCTCTACAATTCTATACATGTTTCTTTATGCAGAATATTCTGGAATAGTCGTCAATAACCACCCCTATTTTACGTTCGGGAATAAAAGAAAAACTGACTAATTTCGCCTCTTCTATGTGTATCTACCAATTTAACTGCTCCTATGGAGATAGTTAGTTGCATAGGCCGTACAATTAGGCGTGTTTCTCGTCGGATTTCCGAACATCACCCCATGCAAGCAAAGTGGTTAAGTAAAGGAAAAACACAATCGATTCATAGCTCAATTCTATCTCAACTTGTGGGTATACAGAACACAAGATTGATGTTGAAGAGGCGACTTTCAAAGATATCTACCGTGCTAACCAACTAATCTTAACTATCAAGTACTGGTTTTGTAGGGATTTAGCTTGATTGGATGAAGGATTTCATCATGAGCTGACATCAGTTAGAGAACCACTGGAAAACCTGGGAGTACTGGGCAGCCAACTGTTTCATCCTAATTCGGGACTCTTCAGCAGTACGCACCAAACGGAGTTCGAACACAGGACCTTCTGGTTACAAGGCGAGCTAGCTTGTTAACCATTGAGCCACTGGGACCCGATCCAATGGCCAGCCCATGAATTCTAACTTCTACCAATTCGCGATATAACGCGACCATTTCGTAATGTCTTATTCGATGAGTTACTGCCTTATCTTCAACCTACTATAGCCTACTGGTCACGGCTTCCCACTAGAACCCAAGGTCACTGCCTGAATAGTACCAGTCGCTACTGAGCATCTGATGGTTCGCTAACTGATGTCAGCTCATGATGAAATCCTCCATCTAATCTTAGCTCTGCCTTAGAAGTTCGTCTACCACATATAGTTGAGGCTGTTGGGATCCGCATTAAGACACCTAAGTTATGTATGTATCCAAAAGAAGAAGTTGGTTGGTTGGTTCAGAAACTGTCCTTACTTACCTTGGCCATCAAGGTTTTAATAATCCTTAATTGGCTGTGGAAATTTCGTTAATTTTACTTGATATTCTATTTACTATTACATTTTTATGCTTTATATAACTTAAGCATCTTTCTTGGACTGTGGTAATTCCGTTGATCTTACTTAACAAATCGACAGTATTTAAAAAACACCAATGTCGTTAATGACGACTATTCTAGAATATTCTATATATATAAACACACATATATATATATAATTGTAGAGCCAGAAGAGGAAATTATCGAAAAGGATATTCTTTGCTCAATTATTTTGTGTTTTATAGATGTCTGAATGAATATTTTCGTCATATTTTAGATTTGCTTTTGTGATTCATAATTCATAGGATCATAAATTTGACTATTCCATAATGAGTCACACAAAATCGAAGACTTACAAGCGAAAACCGACAAACTGGTCGAAGAAGCAGCAAAGACAGGACTCCAGGTGAACATAGACAACACGGAGGTTATGAAAATAATCAACCAACAACAACAACAGCAGCAACATCCAGCGCCAATCACCATCAACAGGAGGGATTTGAAAGAGGGTACTTCATTCACTTATCTAGGAAGCATTGTCTCAACTACAGGAGAAACGGACGGACGACGATGTCAAATCGAGAATCGGGAAGGCGAGAAACATATTCATCAACCTGAAAGCAATCTGGAAATCTTCGTCACTCAGCCTGCATCAACAACAAAATTCGGATTTTCAATACAAACGTCAAGTCAGTCAGTTCTTCTATTCGGATGGATCAGAAACTTGGCGGGTCACAAAGAATATTTCCAACAGCTTGTTGCAGACCTTTATCAACAACTGTCTTCGCTCTATACTGAAGATCAGATGGCCGCCGGAAAGAATCACCAACAAAAAACTATGGGAACAAACAAAACAAGAACCAATCGCCCAATAAATATGTAGGAGAAAGTGGAGATGGATTGGACACTTGCTGAGGAGGCCGTTGGGTGACCCTCGAGTGGAACCCGAAAGCGAAAGGGCGAGTGGTTCGTCGGTGCAAGGGTGACATGGAGGAGATCATGTGAAGAGGAATTGAAACACTTTGGATTAACATAGATGCAGGTGAAAAGTACAGCAGAAGACAGAAGCAAGTGGAGACGTGTAGTTGAAGCCCTTTGTTCCACTAGGAACCCAAGGGAACAATAATAATAATAATAATGTGTCAACCAGTCGATGACTCAGACAATTGTTCAGTTCACATCATTTGATCACAGCTAGAGCAGATGACGGTTAACATGGTGTTACCACAATAGCTTGCACCTTTACAACATCTGGAATACAGCAGTAGTCAACTGAGCCTGCCTATCGATCTATCTATCTATGAAAGTGTATGGTCAGACGATTACTGCACACTCCACATGAAGTTCTTCCTGGATCATAGAAACGAATTTGTCAATTAGCCAGCTGATTTTTCCACACAAAAAACAAATTCACACTCCTTTTCTGGAGTTTACACGAGTTATATCTATCTACCTCTATTAGATATTAATAATAATAATAATAATAATAATATCATATATTGGTGGAATGAATACAACTACTGCAAATGCAATCTAAACACATAATGTTGTCAATACTACTGTGTATGCTAGTTTTGTTTGTGTACAAGAATTAGATCACCTAATTTGATTTCTACTCCTTGTGTGTGTGTATGTGTGTGTGCGGAGGTGGGGTTGATGGGTGGGTGGATAGGTGTGCGTGTGTTGATATCATTTCATTTATTTATGTTTTCCTTTCTCCTGTTATTGTTGTTGTTGTTGTTTTTGCTTATAAACGTAAGCATAGAAGAAGTAGAGACGTAAAACTAACAGGTTATTTATTTATCATAACACATACACACATGTATCAGAAATAAGCCACGAAAAATTCGATTAACAACACTGTGTAGAAAATTGAGAAATTGTAATAACAGTAACAGCCACGAGGACAACGACAACGCATGGCCTATACACGCAAGTACATGTAAAGCAAAGGTTATACAGGCATAGGATGAATCAGCCACCACTTACACAACTCACTGTCTCTCTCTCACACGCGCGCACACACGCACATGTTAGCGCGTGTGTACGTACACAAACACACACACACTCTAAGGTGAACTTTGACTACAAACAAATCAACCAAATAACTAACTAGCTTATTATTATTATTGTTATTACAATCACAGTTAAACTAAACAATTAGAAAACTATAACCTAAAATACATTACGAATAGACATATATATATATATCACACATTTGTGAAAAACATGTGATATACAACAATCTACAGATCGATCGATCGATCGACCGATATAAAAAATACGACGACAGATATATATTACATAGTGAGTGATTGTGAGTCGGTGATTCACGGCGGTAGAATGCCAGCTGGCTGGACAGCTAGTTAGTTTTTCAAGGTTCAATTCTTAGGCACACCGACTCATTCCTAAATCTGGCAGTGAGAGTTAGAAGGAAGACTGGAATAGAGGAAGGCGCAGTACGCTCTCACCGCCAACGACGCACTCCTAAAACTCATGGTCAAGCTGTGAGAAGCAGGTTGAATATGAAGCTAGCAGTCTCACCCTATGAAAACAACACAAGGCTGGCGGGCATGCAAAAACTTCAGAACTTCGAGTTTGAAGCATAATGTGTCTCACTTAGAACGCAATAGAATCATTTAAAACTGACTAAGTGAACAATGACTGGATTGCTTCTCCTGAAGAATGCATTGATGCATAGGGCGGAGGGGATTTCCTCATTCACAAGAAGAAGCTGCAGCGTAATGGGAACTTAGCAAAAGGATTATTTGTAGAGTAACTACTAATTTGATCATATCAGATGGTTGGAGGCAATCGGCAGGAAGTCTTGGACAGCAGCAAGGCGTGTCTGCAACCTTGAAGGAACTAATGTCCCTCCTGAGATTCGAATCCGCGTCATCCAGTGCTGCAATCAGAGACGTTACCACTGAACTAGCTATTCAGGCTCGCGACTGACCTCCTGTAGGAGTGTACTGGATACTTTGATTGGACACTAGCCAGTAACTAGTGTGATGTGTCTAGGCCTTTCTTTGGTGCAGACTGAATTCTATCAATCAGGTTTGCAATGTGGCCACCATTCTAGGTACCTCGTCATCACAATGTACAAACCTAACTGATAGAATTCAGTCTGCACAAAAGAAAGAACTAGACACATCACACTAGTTACTGGCTAGTGTCCAATCAAAGTTACTACTCATATCAGCCACTATTATTTTTAATAATATTTCGTGATATACGCACTTACAAGAATATTCACAGGGACAGTTAAAGACTTAGGTCTTTGGACAAATGAAACGACCGTATGTTAAAATAATACCGATCCTTGGGGGGTGGGGGGAACCAACGTATCACAGTAAGATTGAAAAACGCACAAGTAGAGTGATTTTGGTGAAAGTAGGTAACTAAAACTATAATTATGAGTAAAGTATGCATGTGAGTGAACAGAATATCTAGTGAGATTCCGTTTAGGTTAGACCTCTGCTGTAGACGGATTGAATAACGATTATGGATAGATTAACTCTTCAGAGTTAAGTTAGGGACCCAAATTTACTTTGCTTCTTTTTTTTACCGCATTTGGTTGTTTTAAGCTCATTGGTGCTTTCGTCCCCCACCCAACACCTTGGATAAAAAATATCTTAACATAAAGGTATATGATGTGACTTGCACGCTCATTGGAAAAGTGTGTTATTATACAATTTGCACACATGACACACACAGAAGGATATTTGTAAAAACACAAACAGAAACATCACACATTCATTGAACATGAAATGAAACAACCACACGTGGAAAGAGATTCGATGGATAGGAAACAATTTTTAAATATGTGAATATTTCTGACACAATAACAGTTAGAAAAACTGATTATCAGATAATACTTTTGTCTAACCTATATCAATGACATAGTCTTCGAATTATATAATTTTAACATGTTCATCCAATGACAACATATCACTATTAATATCATTATTATTATTATTTAATCTTCAAGTATCGGTTTGTAGGGATTTTGTTTGATTGGTTACAGGATTTCATCAAGAGTTGACATCAGCCAGAGGAATATTGGAAAACCTGGGAGTACAGAACAGTTCGAGGCTCTTCATCAATACGCACCCTACCACAAGGGTTCGAACCCATGACCTTCTGGTTACAAGGCTAGCGGGCTCGTAGACCATTAAGCCAATGGGACCCGATCCAAACTAGGACGAAGCAGCTGCACAGTACTCCCAGCTGATTTTTCAATGGTTCTCTAACCGATGTCAGGTACACATGCCCAATAAATCATTGCAAATGAATAATTAGATAACCCAGAATTAAAGCCTCTACTATGACGGACAATGACACTTAAGTTCATTTCATAGCACATGTGATCTTTCATCTGAGTGACAACACGTCTGTTTTACTCCTCATGATATTCCTTACAACTATTACAAATATTTACACATTCTACCGAAGACGTTTAAGTTGCATCTTTTTAGCTGCTTTAATTCCAAGTGAGAACAGCACGCTTTAAAGATTCAGTAGCTGAGGTGTTTTCCCTCATTTCCAAGCTTACTACTACTACTAGACTAGCTAGCTAGGTAATATTAACAGAAATGAGTCGACAGGGAAGGGAATTGCCCCCCTTGAAACTCCCGCATGGTTGGCAAACATTCTCTACCATTAACTCAACGAATTCAGTGATACGCGGCATAATTTGAAATAGAGTACATGTAGAAAAAGGAAAGATTCTCCTGCTGGTTATATACAGAGGAAAAGCAACTAGGAAACTAAGATTGATCGGGTGACATCAGATGCCAGACCATTGCTACAGTGGAAACCTAACAGAAAATGATGAGTTAGTTGCGCTACCGTGGATGACGTAATAAAGACGGTTATGTGTGAAGACGAAGTGAAAGTTTGTAGACAGTTGTGGAGCTAGCTAAAACAGACGACAGAGAGAATAGAATGTGAAAGGCGGTGGGGGGGAGAGGTGTTGCTGAAGCCCTACGTCCGTCCAACTCGGAGTCCAGGTTACGAATTGTGCATGCATCAATAACAAAGGCAACTACTTTTTAGAAAAAATATATCACTACTTACTGATTCTGATCGATGACATCGTAGACCTGAGCATAAAGCACGGAATTGTAGTCGTTTCGCTGTCGGATTCACAGATGCATGATCACGACTTGATTCAGCTGAACTGTAGATGGTGGGAAGAAAAAATAAACAGAAAAACTATTAACTCGACGACTAATTAGATATTGGAATTCAAAAAACAAAAAACGATTCGTCGACATAAATAAAATCAACGAAATATTCCCACAATGAGTCATAAGAAAAAGGCCGTAAACATGGATGAAAAAACCCGACATCGAAGCAGAAATACTCGGAAACTGCTTTTCTAAATGTCTGAAGAAAATGCATCACACATTCCCCAGCAGACAAGTAATGCAGTCTAACGTTAAGGAAAAGATACCACTTTTGGTCACCTCAGTGGTTTGCATTCATCAAGCTTACTTGTTCGTGTGAAGCAAAGTATATCTGTTGTACGCAACCTCAAATCCGTAAACGTATTCTGGAACACTGTGCAGCTTGGCTAGTCAAGGGAGGAAAGAAGAATACTAGCACAGCTCGATCCTCTAATACCTTGTCAACTCTGGACATCGAGCACTCCCGCATGAATGCTTCACAGTGCTACACAAAGTTCCTCAATATCGTACAAAAGGACTTCAAATACACCATCTGTACACGGCTGAATCATTGGCTATTCGGGATCTGAAACCGGACCTCTGCATTCCAAAGCACATACACTCGCCCTACCGTGGCCAGAGTAACGTTCTTACTATACTCTGCTTCGTTTTACTACGCAGGTTTACTTTTATTATTATTATTATTCTCGTCATACCTATTTTATTATAACTCTATTACTGTTGTGGTGAGAGCTGACTGCTAGCCAAATTGGTAGACATTAATTTACGTCAACGTTTATGTCCCAAATATTGGTCATGAGAAAAACAGGAACAAAGACTTTGCGTAGGCGGATACAGTTAGCACACAGATGATCTGACATTCAAGAAACAGCCACAAGGAGATGAAAGATTAACTTTCAGTGACAAACAACCAATCAGAGGACTGTGTTTGTCTACTAACAATAATCTATAATAATGTACATGAAAATCTATAAATAGGTGTTGATTTCCTAAATAAACGATCTGTTGCCTGGCCCTTGTCTTCCGTTGTTACACTGTTTATTAATAGCACTGCGTTTTCATACAGATTTTATATGAAAACACTTTATCGTCTTTCCACCAGTTCTTGTTCACTCTAGACAACAATATTGATTAGTCATTTTCTCATACTTATTACGTCATCCGAACTTCTGCCACCTTTGTCCTAATTTCCAATTAGTCACCGCTTCTAGATTACATCTAACATTACTAAATACGTATTTTCGAGGACAAATTTCACCAGTAGTATCTGATTGGTCGTCTTATGAATTGTTTGTTAAATATAATTACGACTATTGTACAACAGCTTATGAAAATGAATGAATCGTCGAAAAGAAAATTTTCTTCGCTGTTTACATAAGTAAAAAATTTAGCTAAAGAGAATTACACACTTCGTTTAGGTACAAAACGCTTTATGCTGGCAACAAATCAGTACACACCACACCGCGTACGATGTCATTTGACAGTCTCCTCAGCAGCATGTGCCCAGTACTTACTTTTACTTTACTTCGGTTATCTCCTACGGGAGGATGAGCCGGCTTCATGAACATCTCGAATCATCGCTGCTTAGGCGCGGCGATCTGATGAAGAGAGTTCATGAAGTTTCATGGGAATTTGGTACGAGTGATGTCCCCAGAATCGCTCGGCCTTTTGTTTGAGAGTGCAGCTCTAGCCTTTACACAACCAAGTGTGACCTACAAGGCAGTAGGAGTGGAGTAGGGAGTCCACTATCCATTGGCAGCCGGTGACCGGAGTTCGGTTCATACGCCTTTTTGAATGGGGCCAGACATCCAGGACATCTAACAAGCTCTTTGTCCATACGTCTGCCGGTGAGCTCCAGTGAGCTTCATACGCCAGTCGTCGGAGGTTTGGAGTCAGGGTTTAGCCATCTACCCTAGACTGTCATCCAATGGACAGTCAACCCGGTGAAGAGCGCCGGGTATCCGCTTTCGCCCTCTCACTTTGGTGAAAAACACCTCCGCCACGTGAAGGCAGTGAGTAGGACTTCCTCAGGAGAGACTATGTAAGACGCCCGGTCATATGGGAGCATTTCAAGAGGTGTGCGGAGGGGTGGCCAACCCGCAGCGCAAGGCACCCACCCCGACCATCCTGAGGCTTTGGAGGCCTCAGTCCATCTTCATTTCCTCCTACATATTTGTTGAGCAATAAGTGTTCTTGGTTTATTATTTTTTCCCAGAGTATCTTTTGATAACTCAGGCATATCACTAATACTCAAATGAAACTACTCTAATTTAATTTATTCTTGATCACATTTGCGTGTCTCATCGTGGATCGTTGTTTTTGGGTTGTTTTTGGTTTTTTTTCATTTTCACGTAATACTACTAAACGTGTCATGATTTTCGTAGAAAATCATGATTTAATGAAAACAGGCTGTGATGATGAGTAATTTCGATCAATAAGCAACCATCAGGACATGACTAATAATAAAATCGTATTTCATTTGTTATTAAACGCCTCATCATACAACAAACACACACACATGCACACGAATCACTGCTAAATATCAAAATCTACATCAAACAATAAGGTTAATCTCAGTAGTATTACAGAAAAGAATTTACTAGCATGATGTGTGTTGTATTCATAACACGGCAGTATTAATCGATTTGTAAATACGCATACAATTAATGCAAAGTAATGTAGTTCAGCATGTAATGTGATACGTTGGGGCAGAATGTTGTGTATTCTCAACATGTGCAAATCACACGTGTTCCAGAATCAATCAGTTTCTGCCTTGAAGTTGTTTTTCTGTTGGTAGCAACTGACTCTCCGGTCGTAATAATCGATTTTTCATTTTATTATTATTATTATTGTTCCCTTGGTTTCCAAGTTGAACATAGGCCATCAATAACACATCTCCACCTAGCTTCTGTTTACACTGCTATTCTCTGCAGCTGAGTCGCCTATGATTGTCTATCATCTGTCATCTCCTCACATGATCTTCTTCCCATGTGACACTTGGACGACTAACTCATCGTTTCCCATTCCGGTTCCACTCAAACGATGACCTGGCTGGAGCGCGATGTCATCCGACGGCCTCCTCAGTGACGTATACCCGATCCATCTGCATCTTCTCCTACATATTTGTTGAACGATAGGTTCTTGGTTGATTCGTTCCCAAAGTTTTTCGTTGCTAATGATCTCTCGCTGGCCATTTGTTCTTCGATATGGAGTCAGTTGATAAAAGTCTGCAGTGACCTGTTGGAAATCATTTACGTGACGATCTGTGCACGTTTCTGACCAATCTAGATGCATTGACTGACTTCACATTGGTGTTGAAAATTCGAATCTTGTTCTTTTTGCTGGCTGGGTGTAGAAGATTTCCGGACTGATTTTAGAGTGATGGAGGTCTGGTGTATCTCTCAACAAACTCCTCCTTCAAAGTAATCTACTAGGTGAGGTACACCTTGCTAAAAACAACACATGCTTGCGTCTCCTTTGTACTAGTGAAGCATTAACCATTCATATGGAGAAATCGGAGCTCAGGATATAAAAAAAGAAAATTATTCAACCACTTCACTTATCATGGTGACGCAACCCTATTGTTTTCTACCAACTTGATTTTGTTTATTTGCTGTTGTTTTTTTTTTAACTCTTGTATTTTCCTCGACGTCTTACGTAACACCAAAATTTTCCTTTGTTTCTATACGCATCCTGACTACAACTCATTCATAAAAATTAAATTACTTGTCTTACTACATAATTCTAACACCCTTAATTAAGTCCTCTTTTACGTATTGATTGAATAATACTAACAACTCTGGTTATGACAACTCATCACCTTGTTAGTTATGCTTCTTTGTGGAAAACTAAATTGTATATAAATGCGATTGCACAGTTAAAGATACAGCCACTTTGCTAAACTACTTGTTGTTTTCTTTTCATTATGGCCTATATGAGGAATATTCATGAATTAACCAACTTACTCACCTACCGTAGGCTTACAGATGAAGTAAACAATGCTGAAGGGAGGAGGGGGGTTTAGACAATACGCCATCACTTTTAGTCACCATACCACACATACACATGACAATTTGAAGTCCAATACATAGCAAACATGAATTTACAGAAATTTTCTGTAAGACGGTTAGAGGTAAAAAGCTCCGCCTGATAATCTTGGTTTTGTGCTTGTCGGTACTCGTCAGTAATCTTGGAGGAGAAATCATGTCCCTTTTTCACTGATAGAATTCAGTCTCCACCAACACCAAGAACTAGATGAATGACATTCGTGACTACCTAGTTCGAATCTCTGAAGGGATATAAGTTCCACTTAAAGTTTGCAGATACGCCATCGCCGACTGATGAGTGCTACCAAGCACGAAATCGAAGACAAACAGGGCTTCTCCTTCCGACTGTCTCCAATCACTTGTCAGCAATCCATTCAGAGTGCAGTGTGATGATGAGTTACCCAGCACGGCGTTGCCCCACACTGCAAACATAACTGATAGAATTCAGTCTGAAACGAACGAAGGACATTTGCTATATCCTACCTAGTAGGTGTCTAAAAATCGTGAAAACAGAAAACAACAAATACTCAACGCTCACCTGTAATTATTTGTTTTCGTCGATAAACCATCTTTAGCATTGTTTGCACCCCCAGCAACAATAACAGGTGATGAATAAAAAGGTAGGTGTTGTGTTGTAGAGAATTCACTGCCTCCAGGTACACTTTTCTCCATAGCATATGATGATGATGATGATGAACCTGTCATTGGATGACTAGCATAATCTACGAATGCACCAGGATAACGACGTAGATTGTTGTTAGTGGCAGTTGTTGTAGGCGTAGCAGACAGTGCTGCTTCTGCAGCTTTTGCTGCTGCAGCCGCCTGTTTACTGGCTAATCGTTGACTCTCTAATTCAAGTAAATGATACACCTCGCCTGCACGTGTCCACAACTCGGATACAGATTCATTTTGATCTTGATCAAATGATGATGACCAGAGACGTGAAGTTAATAGACTTGGTTTACTGGTGTTAGCAGTAGCAGCAGAAGCAGCATGTGTTACAGCACTGTGCATAGATTTACCGTGAAAATCGGAGTCTTCTTTAGCTAAACAAAAAAAGGTAAATAGGATGAGTAGATCAATAAAAGGAAGACGACTGGCAGGCAGGTGGGGAAAAAACACTTCTTTTTAAAACCAGTTAAATGATTCTTAAACAACACCCCCTACGATATGTCGGTACATATTGAGAACGAATACGCAGAATGTAAGGGCCATTAAATACAGGTGGGGTGTGAGGACAAATACTCGCCACGGAAGACATTGGCTAGGGGTCACGTTATGTCGTGAATTGGCAGAAGTTAGAATTCATGGACCATTGGATTGGGTCCCAGTGACTTAATGGTATACGAGCTCGCCTTGTAACCAGAAGGTCCTGGGTTCGAATCCCGGTGGGTGCGTACTGATGAAGAGTCCCAAAGTGGGACGAAATAGCTGTCCAGTACTCCCAGGTGGTTTTCCAATGGTTGTCTAACTAACGTCACCTCATGATGAAATCCTGTAACCAATCAAATCCCTACAAACCAACACTTGTAATACACTTTTATTTATGAACAGTAATCTGCCTTAAAAATATATCACAATCACTTAAGGATTGGCTCGTTACCAGGGGGTACGGTCTTCTTGACTTAGAATATCCGTATGAATATTGTGTCTGTCTAGGTGAAGACGCGGATAAAATGCAGTCTTCTGAAAATCTTGAGCAGCGAGTAATCTTCGAATATTTGGCATGCGGTTTCCTCCTCTCAAATGTCAGATAATGCTACAGGACTGGACTGGGCTGGATTACACCGACTCCTCCTCTAAAGACAGAGAGTGAATCAGTGGAGAGTGTTGACGAATTCACGTATTTGAGAAGCTATATCAGCCGCAATGGACTGATCGCTGAGAAAATATCATCGCGGATACAGAAAACTGGTGTTGGATTTGCCAGCTTACAGCATCTCTGCAGCACACTTAATATCCTGCGGGCTATCGATCAAGGGACATGTGTAATGCGCAAAAACTCACTCTGTCTTCCTTTATGGCTGTGAAATATAGACATGGGAAGCGGAAGATGTGAAATGGTTAATTGTCTTTTTCCAAAGATATCTGCTTTCTAGGTCCCGTGTTAAGTGGTATGATATAATAGGATGAGAGTTATATTGAGGTTAGTCATCGAGTGTTAGGTAAGAAGGGGAAGCCAAATGATGAGGTTGCGAGGCTACGTCGATTTAGAAGGGGCTGGAACACGTGTTTCACAGCCTAACTATCGCTTTCCTCCATGGTAATTGCAAGCTGAGACAGAATGAGGTTGGGATAGTGTTTAGAGCGGCTACATCAAAGTATAGCTTCAATCCATGAAGCCTTTGAATGTCAACTTGAGCCATTTATCGACGTGTGAAGACAACTTAGTTGGGGTTCCTCAAGAAGATAAAAATCAATAGCTGGTCACTGTTAGTGCGATATGGCTCGAAATCGTTGTCAGTGTGGCTCGCTCTTTATTGACCTCCTAGATCCACTGAGTCCGCGTTCTCCAGTACTTTGCCGTTCATCACAGTTCTATTGAATTCCTCTTTTTTCTTTACGTTTTTCCGCTACATGGAGTAGAGAAACCTGAACTGGTATACTTATGTGAACAGTTCTATGGTGAAACTCAGTTAGTTAGTCAGTCACTCAGTCAGTCAGTTATCCCTAAAATCGCCGTTCACTTGTACTTCACAAAGAAAACAACAAAACAGGACCAAAGTATCAAGTAATTCAGATATTATAGCAATTTAAATGAATGAATGAATGATCGAAAATAGCTATTCCGAAAAAAAATTATCAAGAAACACATGACAAAGAAAGCGGCGGAAAAGGACTACGCACTCACTCTCCGTAAACACAAGAAGCCTCTTTATATACGACTGCAATTCAAGGGCGATCGATATACCAAGTGGGATAATTACGAAGAAATTAAGAAAATCAGTTCAAAGGACTTTAAATGCTGGCGAACTACACGTCTTATTCTATCTCCACACGACCGATGGTGCCACCTCGACTGAAAGATGAAGTACCTAGAGAGTAGCTAGCCACTTCAAATTGTATCTACCAATTCAACTGCGCTTGTGCTGGTGGAGCGAGTTATATTGACTGTTGCTGTAGGAACTCGATTTTTCGTGCTCAAGAACATCTCCCACTATGGCCAAGTAAAGGTGCAGTGAAAACAATCAACAGTTCGATATTAGACCATCTGGTGCAAACCGGCCACAAAGCCAGAGTATAAGAATCCTTCTCTATAATCTACCGGGTGCTTAATAAATTGTCAAAATCATCGAAGCACCACATACTCCAAACAGCAAAGGCTATTGCGATTCGCCTCAAACAACCAGTACTCTGTGTTCAAAAGAAGCAAGTCGAGCCCCTACTACTGCCCTGGCTGGCCTTTAGTAGAGACTATAAAATCATGAATTTGTAATATCTTTCCTAATTTTTTCTGACATCCAGCCCATTTTTATGTTGATGCTATTGAGCTATAATCTATCAACATTATTGAGTCGGTTATTTAAACATTAATGTCGTTCATAACACTAATTTATTCATTCACTATAATGTATATATAACTGTAGAGCCTGATGATGAAGAGGTTATCGAAAAGAGTATTCTTTGTTCAGAATCCATTCTTTTGAAAATTTTACTGGACCTCTTTAATCCGTTAAACTCAAACTTTCAATGAGTTCTATAAACGCGTAACTAAACATTATATTAACACTATGTGAAGCCTGGAATTCAAATATACAAGTAAAAATCAAAGTTGAATTTTATCTCAGTTACTCAACAATCACCTGTAATTATTTGCCATTGACACACACCCACACACACACACCTATTGTGTCAAGATTAGTAATGCTACCTGACTGTCCAAACCTCGTTAGATGGAGCAGGATTCGAACCGTCAGTCGAGTGCCTCTTAGACCAATCAGTCATAGTCGTAAGTCAAGAAAAATTTCACAAAGATGCAGCAGCATGATTATAGTTACAAGATTAATGACAATTATCAGTGGATTCACTCACGTGATGATGACGATGACATGTTCAGCCTGCGTACATCTGGAACAATTCTTGTTGTTGTTGTAGACATTTCCGGATTGTAGTTAGCTTCATACATTTGTGGAATATGCGATCGCAGACTTTGACGACCACCAGAGCTACGACGACGACGCGGTAGATGAGTAATCTTAGGCTCGATATTTTGATTTTTAATTGGTGTCTTTTGAGAAGTATTAACAGCAGGTAATAGTTGACACGGTGATGTATTAAGAGTGTTTGATAATGATGATGGTGGGATAATTGTTGAAGGCATATCTTCTGAATGGTTGATTGTGGTGGCGGTGGTTGTAGGAGGAGGATGAGGAGGAGAAGTAGGAGTAGCATTATTTTGAGGAGTTAATAAATTCACTTGATCATATCGACCTGGATGACGAGCTGATGCATAAGCACGTTTACGAATAAATCGAACAGGGAGAGTATCAGCATTTGTCTCTTCTAATAATACAGATGAATCGATTGTATGCTTACGAATGATTCGAACACCTTCTTTGTTAGTTTTGGTAGAATTAGTGATGGTGGTGGCGGCGGTTGTGGTAGATGGATTGTGATGATTACAACTGGCCGATTTGACTGTGGCATGTTTATCATCATCATTTTTTCCTGGAGGATTATGAATGAATTGAAGCGAACTAGGCGGAATAGTATTCTCTTTACGACCTTCACTAGGTAAACAATTGTTTGACAGCAGGGGAACTGTTGACGAGTGATTGTACTCATGGGATTCTAAAAATCGAAAGGGGAAAAAAGTTAAAAAAGACTAAATTTTCTCGAGGAACAGGACAAAGAGAAACATTATTAATAATAATTTGAGTTAAGTAGGAGGATTTGAGTTTCTTGAAATGACATTGAAGAGCGATGGGTACCCTCAAAGGTTCATCAACAAGTATGGAAGATCTATAGTCACAAATGTAAAACAAATCACAGTAAGAAAAAAGCCAATCTACTTTCAACTTGATTATAAAGGTGAAAACATTGCAGCGATGATCAACAGAAGGCTGAGTACATCACTAGCCATAGCCTATCCGGCAGCTAAGCTTGTCCTCGTCTATCAAACAACTTGCTCTTTGATGCAATCAAAAATCGATAGATATCCTTCTCATGTGAACTCCAACTGTATTTACAAATTTACATGTATCTGCGGGAGCAGTTACATTGGAAGAACAGAAACAAGGGCATATCTACGATTTTTTGAACATGTACCAAAAAGCTTATGTCTACAGCTGGGAACAAATGCTTTAAACAGTGCCATCGCCAGGCATCTCCTCGACACGGGTCATGAGGTGGACGTCGAAAAGTCGTTCAAAATTATCAATAGGCAAAAGAGCTCAATTCTCCTTAAGTTTGCTGAAACCATTTCCATCAAGCGCCTGAAACTTGATTTGTGCGCTCAGAAAGAAGCGGTTATCAGTTTTTCTTTGCCCTGCGTGGTAACTGGATATTTTCATCCGAATGCGAGATACCGAAAAGTTTTCATTGTGTATGATTATTATTGTTAGGAATAGTGTTTAATATTGCATATATATTTATTATTAGTGTATGCGTATATTGATCGATTGGTTTTTGTTTAAAAATGAACTCTGTGCAAGTATGTTAAAATTGTTTTTGTAGATACATTTAATAATGTCTTTGCCCTGTAAGCAGCTGACGAGAAGGCAACGAAATAAACAGTGATGGTAACATTTTATTCTGCTAAAACTGTAGTTATTGCTTTGTTCAAATTCATTAAGGGGAATAAATGTATGAAATTACGAGGATTCTGTTAGTTAGTTATTGCATACAACTCATCCTCAGGAAACAATCTAAACGTGAATACCAGTCAGACACTATGTTGTATGCAGTAAAATCCCATAGAATAGAATGAATAAATCATCCCTTCCTAGGGATCTTTTGATTCTGATGAGAACAAAATTTTGGACATGAGTTATATTTACATAATAACAAACAAGATGACAGAGCCTATTAAACAGATCAAAATACGGTGAGATAGTAGAGGCTGTCGAATTATGTGGCAGTTTTGGCTCATCACTGGGAACACTGGATTCCAAAATAATAAATATCACATCTCAGAAATACCACTTGATTTAAATTAATCCCACCCCCTCCCATTGACACATAGGCTAGTCAGTAGTGCAGTGGTAGAACCAGACAAATCGTCGGTGTTCAATTTCCAATCGACACCTCGCTTAGCCGGTGCGAAATCCGGTGAACACAGAGGGAAGGTTAGAAAAGCTAGAAACCTCATCACGCAGAAACAATACCAGTGCTCACTAATGGCTACCGGATGGATGAATGTCCTGAAGCTGCAGTGGGGTGCAACTATGTGTCAAGGTCAAGTGGATGCTCAATCTCAGACACACTGGTGAAGGAAGGGTTAAGTCACAAGTTCAAACGGTTAGAATTCAAGTGTCCTTGAATTCCAGGGCAAATGCCTGAATTATCAACGCGTTTGGTTGGTCTCGTAACCTGAAGATCCTCTTGCGTTCAATTCCCGGAGGGGTTGTGAGTGAGTTCAAGGCTGAAGCTTGAGGCCTCATGGTTCACTCGGAGGAGGGCAAAGGAATGAAAGGTTGGGGTCTAACACAAAGATTTCAGTGAAGAAACTTTTCTTTGTGATAATTTCATTTTCATATATGTACAATCGTATATATATATATATATATATATATATATATATATATTTGGATTATAATAGACAATGAAAAAGACGCGTTAATTGTGAGTAAAAACTTGATATTCTGTCTATATTAAAGCATGTAGTAGAAAATGATCCTAGGAGTACTTGAAGCATCCTTTCAAATCCCCTACAATGTCAGTCAAAATCTGCAGAAGGCGAGATGAATGCATTTACTTTGCAAATGCAGAAGCTTTGGCAATAACATAAGATGATAAAGCCAGGACTCTGTGGGCAATAAAGTTGTATACAATCTCTTCCCCGTCATTTGAAGGTGGTGACAACTAGTGGTGTCCGTCAGGAATGCCCACTGTCCCTATTTCTGTCCAACTTCATCACAGATGGACTAAGGGAACTGATCCTTAATGATCTCGGCACTACTCATGGATTGGCTTGTTACCAGGGGAAAATCTCGTTGATTAAGAATATGCCGATGATTTAGTCCTCCCAACTTGGCGAAGACGCTGACGAAATGCAGAGTCTTTTGAACACATTGCGCAGCAATCATCGAATGTTGAACACGCGATTCTCCCCCTTTTTCAAATATAAGAGGATTCTACAGGGCTGGCTGAACTACATAGACTCACTCCTAGCCTAAAGATAGGCAGGAGTTAAGTGGTGGCTGAGCGTGTTGACCACCTCCCTAATCTGGATGGGAAGTTGCATCAGCCGGTCACAGTATGTTGATCATTGACGAAATCTCAGAACGGATACAGAAGGCTCATTCGGCATGTGCCAACTTACGCCATCTCTGGCTTAGTAGACGAAATATCGATCAAAGGACGTGAGTGCTCCTCAGCAGTTCGCTCACTTCCCCTCCTCCTTTATGCCTGTGAGCCAACTAGATATGGTCATTGAAAGTGGAACACATAAAAAGCCAAGTCAGCTGTTTGTCTTTGATCACAGGTGTCTGCGTTATACCTCCCGTGTTAGGTGGTAGGTGTAATAAGGTGAGCAATACTGAGGTTAGACGTCGAGTGTTACTTAAGTCAAGGAGGGGAAATCAATCGACGAGGTTGTGAAGTTACATCACTTGAGATAGATGGTTAGGACATGTGTTACGCATGCCTTGCCTAGACGAACCTAGCCATCGATCGCCTTCCTCAACAACGGTCAATGTTAGCTACCGACATACGATCAATCAGGATGGGAAAAAGCTAGTGGTTGGTTGTCAGACATAAACATGACTGCATCAGTCAATGAAATCCATAACAGTTAGTTTAAGCCAGCAATTCAGCCACGTAGGGGGGTGTCTGTCTGTTTTCGACATAGAACTTTGCACCTATGTGCAACAATTAAAGTCGCCACACTCCATGTAGCACACAAAGCAAGAGAGGAAAGTAGAAGAAATGCATAATAGAGACAGTAGATAGGGATATGAGACAAAGGAATAGTAATAACGAAGAACAATGTAATTTCATCGGGTATTATAAATCACAGGGAGTGGATGCACCTGCGCTAGCCATCACCGGGAACGATGAGTTTAAGCCGTATCACCGATTGTCTCTAGCCATTGGTGTTTACCGTCCCGAGGACCACAACCATGAAGTCTACATAGTCCTACGTGACTTAAACTAACTGTTGTGGATTTCATTGGCTGATGAAGCCATGTTTTGGTTTGACCACCACTGGATCTTTACCAACCTAACATTGGCTAGGCATACGTAACACATGTCCTAACCATCTCAGTCAATGTAGCTTCACAGCCTCGTCGATTGATTTCCCCTCCCACCTACCTAGCACTCGACGCCTAACCACAATATTGCTCACCTTATTATACCACTTCACACGGGAGATAGAACGTAGGCACTCATGATTAAAAAAGACAGGGAGGTGTAAACTGGTTAGTTGGGGTCATCGGGAGATTGGTGATATAGCTCAAAACCGTTCTCAATGGATGGCGGAGATGCATTCACTCTTTGTCATTTGACATATCCAGTAAAACTCTATTGTTCTTCCATACTGCTACTACTACTTCCTCTTTTTCCCTCACTCAAGCTTCTGTTTATTATCTGCCTTTTGAACTTTCCTTTATTCTCTTCTCTTCTCTTCATGTGGTACATGAAGGCGGTGCGGCAAGATGTTCATCTAGCACATATCTGTGCAAAGTTCTAAAGTTGAAACTAATCAGTCTGTTTCCGTTGCTATGAAATTATTTTCTAATATGGGATTCACAGAAACCCCTTTTATACTTCATTATTCCGTGTTTTATTTTACCTCACTTTATCACATTCTCACATTGCGTTGTATTGACGTATAGTTAGTAGTTCACACTCATCTTATATTACATTTGACCTGATAAATTCACATATATTCACATTTTCACTTTAAAAGATACTTTAATAATCTGTCTATAAAAGGCAGCACAGCATGCATGAATCAATTTTACTCATGTGTTTGTGTATTGTACTTTGGGGTGACTCAGCTTAATATATATATCACGAGTTAATAACTCTTAATCATCTAAATCAACTATAATCGCAATTCAGTATAATTTCAGCTTGAGTGATCGAATTCAGTCACCCCCAACACGGAGGAGGACCATATACACATGACATTATCTACTCCAGAGTAGCCAACCGATCAGTGTATCCGTCACAGTCCTATAGGAGGTCAGTCGCGAGCTCCAGTAGCTCAGTAGTAATGTCTTCGACTGGGTTCGAACCTCACCACCCCAGAAGACACTCGAAACTGACGAGTGGCAACAAGCATGAAAACTTGATCCGACGCTTCCTGTGGATTGTAAATAGGACTGTACACGTTGACCGCTACACTTACTTGGAAGTACCATCAGCCAACGTCTACGGGTTGATCGCTGACGAAATCTCACCACGGATACAGAGGGTTAGTTTTGCATATGCCAGTTTACACTGTCTCTGGCTTAGTAGACGTGATATCCGACTATCGACCAAAGGCCGGGTGTACTGCTCAACAGTCCGCTCTGTCCTCCTGTATGGCTGTGAGACATGCTGGTCATTGAGAGTGGAAGACATGAAAAGATTAGCTGTCTTTGATCATAGGTGCCTGAGTTCTATCTCTCCTGTGAAATGGT